TTTCTCTTCCTGGGTAGTAAGTGTTATTTCCTAATTACTTATACCTCAAAAGTACAGAAAATGGCTATTATTCCCCACAAACTTTGCTTTTGTGACCAGGACAGTGACATTTTACCTATTTTCTATGAGAAAACGAGCGAATTTTTGTTTTTTCGTTCACATAAAGTCAGAAAAATAAACATTAATCAAAATTAACATTTTTTTATATTAAAGTAATACAAAAATGATTACAAAAGATTTAGAAGTGGGTTTGACCCCGCCCCTGACACCTGTATATTGTTATTTTGAATGTTCTCCTCGTGGTGGCGTTGATTTTTCTCTGGGTCCTCTGGTTTTGCCCTCCACATTTAAAATCGACGTGCGTTTATAGTATTCCGGTGCCATACATTTCTACGTGATAAGCCACTTCAATGAAATATCATTTGTGATCGCCATGTTGCTTCTGAAAAAGAGCTACATAGCTCAGTGGGCCTTACCTGATCAAATACAAAGTTTAGTTTAGTTTAGAAACGAACGCGATCGATATACTCAGGAGGATTAATCGATCGATCGATTTGGCGAAGATCAAAAAACTCTTCGTCGATTGGGGACCACAGCACTTGGCGTGCAACCATCGCCCCCGAACGGACACACAAATCCCGCGGCTCATTAAAATTAGACTCACCCTGTCTCTGAGTTGTACGCCTGGCTACGCGACGTCGACTCTAAACCTGAGTTGCACAGAGCAGGACCCCGAGCAGTGAGGGGGTGGGGGTCGTGGGGGTCATTGCCGAGATCTACGTTCACAAGAGGAGAGGAGCGATCTCTTCTCGGTTTCGAGCCGAGGAGGATGGCACCGATCATCAGAATCGTCACAACCACGTGTCTCACATCGTCACAGCCACCACGTGTCTCACATCGTCACAGCCACCACGTGTCTCACATCATCAGGAAGCGGGAAACAAACGGAGAACCAACGCCTGCAAAGTAACTGCTCCTCGCCTTATTATTGTAAACATTATTACCATTATCACTCAGCTTGTTTACCCTGGAAAGTGTCACCGAGTTTCAGGATTTTTCCAGGAGGAGGGTTCCTGCCAAGTTTGAAAGCAGTAGTGAGAGCGACGCTGCTGCTGCTGCTGTTGCTGCTCTGTGTGATCCCAATTGAGTAATAATTCAGGTTATTTTTCAACATTGGGATGTTTGGCGAAAACCAATTACGTTGTTTTATTTTCTTTAAATTAGGTAGACTCCCCCCCCCCCCTCCTCGTGAGCACTGCCATTGGGAGGTTTTGACATTGTTGTGATTGAAACGGACCCATTTGTGGAACTGCCACCAATGTCAGTTTAATGCTTTTATGTGATGTGTATGTTGAACTTCTTTCGCACCGTACGTAGCCAACCGTGCTAATCGGAGGTGCGAGGAAGCTCCTGCCACGTGCCTACTGAGAGCCCCACGTCGGGAGAGGTTGTGCCGCATTGCTTCGTTGCTCGTTCGCCGGGGCGGAGGAGGCGGCGCGGAGCGTCCCGCACCAGAATCCCCGAGATCCACTCGGACGGCGCCGCACGCCGAGCGGAGCGGGCGCCCTCCCTCGGCCCGGGGAGGGGGGCTGGTGCTTGCGATGGGGGGAGGGGCCGTACCGGTCGGGTGTGTGGTGGTGGTGGTGGTGGAGGGGGAGGCAATCCCACGAGATCCCACTTCCTGCCGGCTACAATGTGACCGTTCGTGGCAGGAAGATGATCGTGACTGCAGCCGGCGGCCTTCCTGTCGCCGCCACCACCACCACCGCAGCAGCAGCAGCAGGGGCTCCCCTTCCACTGCTGCTGCCACTGCCGCCTCCTACCCCCCCCCAGCCTCATCCCCCCCACCGCCTCCTCCCCCCCACCGCCTCCTCCCCCCCACCGCCTCCTCCCCCCCCCAGCCTCATCCTCCCACCCCCCTCGGCCGGGCAGGAGACCGACGCATGATGGAGAGCAGAGGACTGGCGGTATGGGGATGTAGGGGGTGGGAGGAGGCTGCAGAGGAAGGGATTGGGGCTTCAGGGTGGCTGTGGGGATGGGGGGCTGCTTCGGCAGAGCGCGGCTCTGATCGGCCGTCGTTCACGCCGCTAAACTCCCCAGTGCAGGTGTCGTGCACGTCATGTTGTTGTCTTGGGCTAGAGCGGTGGTGCAGCTGTTAGCGGTGGTGCAGCTGTTAGCGGTGGTGCAGCTGTTAGCGGTGGTGCAGCTGTTAGCGGTGGTGCAGCTGTTAGCGGTGGTGCAGCTGTTAGCGGTGGTGCAGCTGTTAGCGGTGGTGCAGCTGTTAGCGGTGGTGCAGCTGTTAGCGGTGGTGCAGCTGTTAGCGGTGGTGCAGCTGTTAGCGGTGGTGCAGCGTGTAGCGCGCTGCGCTACGAGCCCGGCGACCCGGCGTTCCTTTCCCGCTCACTGCCACCAACAGCAGTGACGCATTATTTGAACCCGGTCCTGGGCCTCCCCTAGGTCGACTCAGCCTCAACTGAGTACCTGGTGCGGTGTGTAAACATCGCCGTTCGGGAGACGAAGGCGGCCGGGAGTGGTGCTGGCCACCCACCACCTCGTGTGCTGTTCCGGCCTTCATAGGTGTTACTCGCTAACAGCACTTGACCCAACAGTCTGTGGAGGCTACACGGGGGGGGGGGGGGGAGAGGGGGTCTTTGTTGCTGAACGCCTGACGCGCCGATCACCACCATCAGCACCACCACCACCGTGCCGCTGTGGTGGTGGTGGTGGCCGGCATCCAGGGGGTTGATTCCAGGAGTCGTAGCCGACTTGGGGGGGGGCACAGGTGCGCTCGGGGTTCCGCTTGCAGGGCCGTTCCCGCGGTGGGGGGCGGGGTTGGGGGGGGGGGCGGGGTGGGGGGGCGTGAGAGAAGGGGGAGGTAATCAAAGCAGAGGGGTTCGTGTGCGAGATCGCTACTGCCAACGCTTCTGCCATCTGAAGAGGAGGGCAGGCTGTGGGCGCTTCCGTTCAGATGTTGGTGCCGAAAACACGAAAACGGCGCAGCGAGAGACGCGGAGGAGGGGGCGCGAGTTGGGGGGGGGTTGTCGGTGCCCCCCCACCACCCCCCCCCCCATCTTAGCGGGGGCCGCGTGCACAGGACGTGCGTGGAATTCCTCGTGGGCCTGCCCTTTCGTTTTCCTCCTGCCGTCGTGAACTCGCGAAAACACGTGTGGGACGGTGGCGGCGCTCGCCCATCAATAATCTCGCGTGGTCTCGGCCTTCCGCTTTGTGGCAAGTGTCACTTGAGGTTTTAGTGTCCTGCTCAGACTAAGCACGTGCATTTAAACATGAAGCCAATCGGCGAGCGATTATTTTTAAGGTTGATTTTTGACGTCGCGAACAAGGCTGCCTATTTTTGCGAAACTTCCCCAAATGTTGGTTTTATGCTTTTTGGCTTGGAATCTCACACGGGTAAAGCCGTCGGAGTTATCGTCACGCGCGGCGATGTACAACAGCCCTCGCTCGGCCTCATCCTGACCACCGCCTCCCAAAGAACTGAATATGTGGCCATTGTGCGGTTTAGACCACCGCAACGAAAGAGTTGCGGTCATGTCGCCATCCAGTTGTTTTTGTTGTGGGGGGGGGGGGGGGCGTTTACAAATCTCAAGAAACTAGACCGCAAATCTGAGCCAGATGCCTCAGTGGAGAGAACACGTATCAGCCTCCCGAGGCCGAGATGTTGACTACCTCGCCTGGTGTGCAGGAGGTTGTGGGTTCGATCTCGACCCTGACGATGCCTGCTGCTGTATATTTGTAGTTTGCGTGTTTTCTCTCTGTCTCTCGTCCCGTGGTCGTGTGGAGGACCCAGAGAAAAATCCACGCCACCACGGGAGACAGAGAGACACGCAAACTCCAAATATACAACAGGGATCTGGGTCGAACCCACGACCTCTCCTGCATACCAGGCAAGGGAGTTAACATCTCGTCAATGTAGAGGAGACTTCCTCTTGTTCCTCCATTGGAAGTCGCCACCTCCAAGTCGTATGCTCTGCCCTCCCTTCGGTCCCCCATCAAGTCCCACAATCGCAGCTTTCGTCACAGAAAATGCTTTAGCATGTGACCGGAACCACCAATCTCGTCAGCTCTTGAAGCCAAGCTGGATGGGAGAATGGTTGGGGATTGGATGGGTGATCACTGCTAGAGCAACCCAGTCGTCGTAGGCTGCGAGTTGCCGCCACCATGTATGTACGCTGGGGTTTCCCTGGGTTCTCCAATCTCCTCGTGAATGAAATTCGGCCGACATTCACATTGTAGGTCCTTCCTTGCTGAAGATGTTTTCCTTTGATGCATAATTGTAATTTGAAAAATAAGAATAGCTTTTACCCATTCTGGAAATAAATCCGGTGCAAAGATGTTCAAACACCATATTTCTACCTAATTGCATTAACCACACGTACTTGCGTTGAGCATGCAAACAGATGTGCCCTGATAATGACGCGGAGGTGGTAGCACGAAGGGTGTGGGGAGGGGGGGGGGCTGGATTATATTCCTAACTCGGGGGGCTTCTATCTGCGTGGAGTTTTGTCTGTTCTCCATCTTCCCTCCGTTCTGCGTTGGGTTTCCTCCGGTTTTCTCGCATCTCCGACTTGGCACCGTTGGAACAAGTTCAACGTGCACGCGTGTTCTCCGGTTCTTCCTCCCGGAGCTAAACGCCACACAATGTACCTGGTCTTGACTAAACAAACCCACGTGCTGACACATTAGAGTGCCTGGCCAATTACTCAATCAGGATCCCACACGGCAACCATCCCCTTGCTGCTGCAGAAGCCTCGGTGATGCGTTTCTGTCCGCGTGGCTCAGCCATGCTGATGACGCGGGGCTCGCCGCGTGTGTGTGCGCGTGTGTGTCTGCGTGCGCACGTGTATTTAGGTGTATGTGTGCGTGCGCGTGTACGTGTGTTTGCACGCCTGTTTACGTGTATGTGTGTGCGTGTGTGTGCGTGTGTGTGTGTGCGTGTGTGTGTGCGTGCGTGTGTGTGCGTGTGTGTGCGCGCTCGAGTGCAGGAGCCAGCGGACGCGTGCGCTGCTACAGCACCCTGCTGCCCTCCACGGCAGGGGAGGCACCCAACGTGACGCTGTGCGACGAGAAGGACGCCTGCTTCGCCTACTACAAGAACACGAGCCAGGGACTGCGGGCCTCCACTCAAGGTGTGTGTGTGTCTGTGTGTGTTTGTCTTTTGTCTGTATGTATGTGTGTGTGTGTTTTGTCTGTGTGTGTTTTGTCTGTGTGTGGTGCGTAGCGGTTAGCGTTCCGCGCTACGAACCCGACGAGCCGAGTTCGATTCCCACTCACGACCACCGACGCCACTGGCAATTGTCTGAATCGGTTCTGGGCTTCCCCTAGGTCGACTCGGCCGCAAATGAGTACTTGGTGCGGTGTGTAAACATCGCCATTCGGGAGACAAAGGCGGCCGGGCGTGATGCTGGCCACCCACCGCCTCGTGTGTCGTGCTGCCCTTTATAGCTGCTCGCTAACAGCACTTCCCCCAACAGTCTGTTAAGGCTATTCGGGGGATCTTTGTCTCGTGTGTCTGTGTATGTGTATCCATCTATCTTTGTTTGTCTGTGTCTGTGCTGAATGCGTGTCCACGTGTCTGAGTAACCTGCACGCCCGCCCGGCTGACTGGGGTACAGGTTACTCCCCCCCTCCTCCTCCCCCTCCTCCTCCCCCTCCTCCTCCTCCTCCCCCTCCTCCTCCTCCCCCTTCCTCCTCCTCCCCGTCCCCCTCCTCCTCCCCCTCCTCCCCCTTCCTCCTCCTCTTCCCCCTCCTCCTCCCCCTCCTCCTCCACCCCCTCCTCCCCCTCCTCTCCCCCTCCTCCTCCTCCCCCTCCTCCTCCACCCCCTCCTCCTCCCCCCTCCTCCTCCTCCTCCCCCTCCTGCTCCTCCCCCTTCCTCCTCCTCCCCCTCCTCCCCCTAATCCACCTCCTCCCCCTTCCTCCTCCCCCTCCTCCTCCTCCCCCTCCTCCCCCTCCTCCTCCTCCCCCTTCCTCCTCCTCCTCCTCCCCCCCTCCTCCCCCTCCTCCTCCTCCCCCTCATCCTCCTCCCCCCCCTCCTCCCCCTCCTCCTCCTCCCCCTCCTCCTCCCCCTTCCTCCTCCTCCCCCTCCTCCTCCCCTCCTCCCCCTCCTCACCCTCCTCCTCCCCCACCTCCTCCTCCCCCTTCCTCCTCCTCCCCCTCCTCCTCCTCCTCCTCCTCCCCCCCTCCTCCCCCTCCTCCTCCTCCCCCTCATCCTCCTCCCCCTCCCCCGCTCCTCCTCCCCCTCCTCCTCCCCCTTCCTCCTCCACCTCCTCCTCCTCCACCTCCTCCTCCCCCTCCTCCTCCTCCTCCCCCTCCTCCTCCTTCCCCTTCCTCCTCCTCCCCCTCGTCCCCCTCCTCCTCCCCCTCCTCCCCTCCTCCCCCTTCCTCCTCCTCCCCCTCCTCCTCCCCCTCCTCCTCCTCCCCCTCCTCCCCCTTCCCCCTCCTCCTCCTCTCCCTCCCCTTCCTCCCCCTTCCTCCTCCTCCCCCTTCTCCCCCTCCTCCCCCTCCTCCCCCTCCTCCCCCTTCCCCCTCTTCCTCCCCCTCCTCCCCCTTCCTCCTCCTCCCCCTCCTCCTCCTCCCCCTCCTCCCCCTTCCTTCTCCTCCCCTTCCTCCCCCTCCCCCTCCTCCCCCTCCTCCTCCTCCTCCCCCTCCTCCTCCACCCCCTCCTCCTCCTCCCCCTCCTCCCCCTCCCCCCCTCCTCCTGCCCCTCCTCGTGCCTGCAGCCTCGCTGCTCGGACTCAGCAAGTGGCAGTTCGGGCGCCGCGAGGATAGACCCAGCGGAGTTTCTTTAGTTTGTGGAGCTGCTGACGCGCTCGCCTGCTGATGGGATCTGCTCCCTTCCCCACCTCATTGCGCACACAAAGTGCACGCGACACAACTGGACCACGACGACACCTCGTTGTTGATCTCGTCAAGGAGCAATACACCATCATGACGCGGCTTTTGGCTAGCCAATGAACAAAGATGGTCACCGCATCGCGCGCATGTGGACGCGCTTCTGCGGCCGTCTGGAACGCTCTTCCTTCTGATATTAGGAAGCCACGGAGCTATGCACTTTTAAATCGTCTCGATAACCTAACTAATTTATTTAGAACTCTTTTTGTGTTTAGTTTGTTGTCCATTCCCCCACATACTCCGATTAGCACGGTTGGCTACGTACGGTGCGAAATAAGTTCAACATACACACACACACACACACGTGTCTCTGACTGAACCCCAGGCCCCCTGCCCCACTGCTCCATTGGCATCTACCGGCCGCTTCAGTGAGTCTCAGTATCAACGTCACGTGATTTATATCTAAATAATATCCTGAATAATGGACGTTATTATTTATAATTGGCCAACTTCGTTGAGCTGTCATTGTGGCCAGGTCGCTTCTAAAAATGCATTTCCAAAACAACGACTCCCACGGGTTTAGAATCAGATCCGATTTGGATCTGATTGGATCATTTGCGAAGAGTAAAAACATCTGGATTGAGCAGGGAGAGGGAATGAGTTGAAGGAGGCGATTGGGCAGGTGGCAGTGAGAGGGAATGAGTTGAAGGAGGTGAGTGGCAGGTGGTGGTGAGAGGGAATGAGTTGAAGGAGGTGAGTGGCAGGTGGTGGTGAGAGGGAATGAGTTGAAGGAGGTGAGTGGCAGGTGGTGGTGAGAGGGAATGAGTTGAAGGAGGTGAGTGGCAGGTGGCAGTGAGAGGGAATGAGTTGTAGGAGGTGAGTGGCAGGTGGTGGTGAGAGGGAATGAGTTGAAGGAGGTGAGTGGCAGGTGGCGGTGAGAGGGAATGAGTTGAACGAGGTGAGTGGCAGGTGGCAGTGAGAAGGAATGAGTTAAAGGAGGTGAGTGGCAGGTGGTGGTGAGAGGGAATGAGTTGAAGGAGGTGAGTGGCAGGTGGCAGTGAGAAGGAATGAGTTGAAGGAGGTGAGTGGCAGGTGGTGGTGAGAGGGAATGAGTTGAAGGAGGTGAGTGGCAGGTGGCGGTGAGAGGGAATGAGTTGAAGGAGGTGAGTGGGCAGGTGGTGGTGAGAGGGAATGAGTTGAAGGAGGTGAGTGGCAGGTGGTGGTGAGAGGGAATGAGTTGAAGGAGGTGAGTGGCAGGTGGTAGTGAGAGGGAATGAGTTGAAGGAGCTGGTTGGGGAGGTGGCAGTGAGAGGGAATGAGTTGAAGGAGGTGAGTGGGCAGGTAGTGGTGAGAGGTAATGAGTTGAAGGAGGTGAGTGGGCAGGTGACAGTGAGAAGGAATGAGTTGAAGGAGCTGGTTGGGCAGGTGGTGGTGAGATGGAATGAGTTGAAGGTGAGTGGCAGGTGGTGGTGAGAGGGAATGAGTTGAAGGAGGTGAGTGGCAGGTGGCGGTGAGAGGGAATGAGTTGAAGGAGGCGATTGGGCAGGTGGCAGTGAGAGGGAATGAGTTGAAGGAGGTGAGTGGCAGGTGGTGGTGAGAGGGAATGAGTTGAAGGAGGTGAGTGGCAGGTGGCGGTGAGAGGGAATGAGTTGAACGAGGTGAGTGGCAGGTGGCAGTGAGAAGGAATGAGTTGAAGGAGGTGAGTGGCAGGTGGTGGTGAGAGGGAATGAGTTGAAGGAGGTGAGTGGCAGGTGGCAGTGAGAAGGAATGAGTTGAAGGAGGTGAGTGGCAGGTGGTGGTGAGAGGGAATGAGTTGAAGGAGGTGAGTGGCAGGTGGCGGTGAGAGGGAATGAGTTGAAGGAGGTGAGTGGGCAGGTGGTGGTGAGAGGGAAGGAGTTGAAGGAGGTGAGTGGCAGGTGGTGGTGAGAGGGAATGAGTTGAAGGAGGTGAGTGGCAGGTGGTAGTGAGAGGGAATGAGTTGAAGGAGCTGGTTGGGGAGGTGGCAGTGAGAGGGAATGAGTTGAAGGAGGTGAGTGGGCAGGTAGTGGTGAGAGGTAATGAGTTGAAGGAGGTGAGTGGGCAGGTGACAGTGAGAAGGAATGAGTTGAAGGAGCTGGTTGGGCAGGTGGTGGTGAGAGGGAATGAGTTGAAGGAGGTGAGTGGCAGGTGGCGGTGAGAGGGAATGAGTTGAAGGAGGTGAGTGGGCAGGTGGTAGTGAGAGGGAATGAGTTGAAGGAGGTGAGTGGGCAGTTGGTGGTGAGAGGGAATGAGTTGAAGGAGGTGAGTGGCAGGTGGTGGTGAGAGGGAATGAGTTGAAGGAGGTGAGTGGGCAGGTGGTGGTGAGAGGGAATGAGTTGAAGGAGGTGAGTGGGCAGGTGGTGGTGAGGGGGAATGAGTTGAAGGAGGTGAGTGGCAGGGGGTAGTGAGAGGGAATGAGTTGAAGGAGGTGAGTGGCAGGTGGTGGTGAGAGGGAATGAGTTGAAGGAGGTGAGTGGGCAGGTGGTGGTGAGAGGGAATGAGTTGAAGGAGGTGAGTGGCAGGTGGTGGTGAGAGGGAATGAGTTGAAGGAGGTGAGTGGCAGGTGGTAGTGAGAGGGAATGAGTTGAAGGAGGTGAGTGGGCAGGGGGTAGTGAGAGGGAATGAGTTGAACGAGGTGAGTGGCAGGTGGTGGTGAGAGGGAATGAGTTGGAGGAGGTGAGTGGGCAGGTGGTGGTGAGAGGGAATGAGTTGAAGGAGGTGACTAGGCAGGGGGTAGTGAGAGGGAATGAGTTGAACGAGGTGAGTGGCAGGTGGTGGTGAGAGGGAATGAGTTGAAGGAGGCGAGTGGCAGGGGGTAGTGAGAGGGAATGAGTTGAAGGAGGTGAGTGGGCAGGTGGTGGTGAGAGGGAATGAGTTGGAGGAGGCGAGTGGCAGGGGGTAGTGAGAGGGAATGAGTTGGAGGAGGTGAGTGGGCAGGTGGTGGTGAGAGGGAATGAGTTGAAGGAGGTGAGTGGGCAGGTGGTGGTGAGAGGGAATGAGTTGAAGGAGGTGAGTGGGCAGGTGGTGGTGAGAGGGAATGAGTTGAAGGAGGTGAGTGGCAGGTGGTGGTGAGAGGGAATGAGTTGAAGGAGGTGAGTGGGCAGGTGGTAGTGAGAGGTAATGAGGAAGAGAGAAGCGCCAGACGCCTCCGAGCTGTCGACGCAGAGAGACCAATGCCACGTGATCACATTCTGCGTAACCTGCGCAGCCCGAGTGCAGGGTGATATTTTAAGTTCATGATGAAGGCTATTGGGTTAGATGGCGTCAATATGATCTGTGTCGTTAACCCACCGCCACCCGACACGGTGATGACGTCACGTGACTCTTAGGAGCGGACACAGAAAGACTTCGTCACAATTCGGGCTAATCGCCTGATGAAGCTGGTCGTTGTTTTCGTTACTCGCCAGCGACACGTCACGCTACTTGAATTGTAAATGTTGTGGGTTTACGCTCCAACACACAACCGGCGTGCTGGAACCCACTGGCACGGTCTGTGCCCGTGACGATCCTTCCCAGTTGGCTGTGTCGGGGGGGGGGGGGGGGGTGGCAGTGGCGGGTTTTAACGACGCATTTACATTCGCGTGATATAACCCCAAAAAAACCCTTTATTATTAATAGTATCGGTCACGAAACGCCTATGACGTGTCCCATTGACATTTGTGCATACACACACGCGCACGCGCGCACAATATCTAACTCTGTTGGACTTATCCTTTAAATAAAACCCTCTTCGGGCAGAGGAAGCGACGGAGAAGAGGAGGGCGAGAGGCTGGGGCCTGGGTCAGGGGGGGTCAGCGCACAGACATCCTCCTGGGAGCGCGGGGAGAGGGGGAATGGGGGGGGGGGCTGCGGGGGGTGGGACGATGGGGGGGGGCGATGGGGGGACGCGGGGGGATGGTGGGGGGGGGGGTCGATGCTCTTCCTCGCCCCACACCGCTGGGCCCATCTCACAGGGGGAGGCTTTGGGCCACCATTGGGGGCGCCGCCGCGGTGGCTATGAGATGTTAACTACCTCGCCTGGTATACAGGAGGTCTGTGTCTCTCTCTCTCATAATCATCACGGTGGCTGTGAGATGTTAACTACCTCGCCTGGTCTACAGGAGGTCTGTGTCTCTCTCTCTCATAATCATCACGGTGGCTGTGAGATGTTAACTACCTCGCCTGGTCTACAGGAGGTCTGTGTCTCTCTCATAATCATCACGGTGGCTGTGAGATGTTAACTACCTCGCCTGGTCTACAGGAGGTCTGTGTCTCTCTCTCATAATCATCACGGTGGCTGGGAGATGTTAACTACCTCGCCTGGTCTACAGGAGGTCTGTGTCTCTCTCTCATAATCATCACGGTGGCTGGGAGATGTTAACTACCTCGCCTGGTCTACAGGAGGTCTGTGTCTCTCTCATCATCATCACGGTGGCTAGGATGTTAACTACCTCGCCTGGTCTACAGGAGGTCTGTGTCTCTCTCTCTCTCATCATTATCACGGTGGCTATGAGATGTTAACTACCTCGCCTGGTATACAGGAGGTCTGTGTCTCTCTCTCTCTCTGAGACTAAGGTGCTCTGCAAACCCTCTGGCTACCATCAAAGGTTTGTACACGAAGCCATTCAGATATACAAACACAGACATAATTTCAACCGTGATGATGGGTACAAACTTAGTAATCATTGGAAAGATATTATCAACCATGCAAAAAAGATTTAATTACACAATTTTTTGACTTTACCGAGTGTTAACATCCCTAACGTTTAACAGTACTCTCTTTATTGTCAGCCAACACTGGTATAAACATGGACATTTTCGTTCCTTTTCTATTATGTACATCCACAGTGACTTGCGCACAAACACGTCGTTGACCACGACCACGAGTACCCCGTCCCTCTGTTAGCCCCCCCCCCTCCCGATACGTTCCATTCATTGGCTACCACATTCTGATAAGCCCCTCCCCCCTTAACTGGTACTTAAGAGCTTACATCTTGAATCCCTCCCTCACTTGATGCAGCAAATCTGGCTGTGACGGTCCCACATGATGACGGAGACTTGTGTTGCCTCCGAAACGTCGTGATTTTTATTGTTTTATTTGTATTAATTTTAATTTCATTTTTTACCTACGTGACTTTACCGAAAGAACTAAGAGTATGAATCCTTGCAGTCATGAAAGCTTCAAATCTAGAAATGATGATCATCATCATCAATCATGATGATCATCATCAATCATGATGATCATCATCATCAATCACGATGATCATCATCAATGATGATCATCATCGTCAATCATGATGATCACCATCATCAATCATGATGATCATCATCATCAATCATAATGATCATCATCATCGTCAATCATGATGATCATCATCGTCAATCATGATCATCACCATCAATCATGATGATCATCATCATCAATCGTGATGATCATTATCATCAATCACGATGATCATCATCATCAATGATGATCATTATCATCAATCACGATGATCATCATCAATGATGATCATCATCGTCAATCATGATGATCATCATCATCAATGATTATCATCATCATTCATGATGATCATCATCGCCACCGCCATCATCCCAGATGCAGTTATTGGGCGGCCGTCAACAAGGGGAGTATTTTGATCGATGCCTCGTGCGCGCGCCACTCGTTGAGCTCGCACATCGCGTGGTCAAAGTCCAGCGATCCTGCGGGAAGTGACGCGGCACCCGTCTCCTGAACGCGGCCCTGAGCCAGCGGTGGAAACTCCACGTTCCCATGGCGCTTTCTAATATTGGCCCCGTCGAGTAAGGGTCCGTTGCCTTTCTGCGCAAGTCCGGCAGCACGTCCCCTGTTAAGTGAATTGCGTAATTGCGCATTTAAACAAATTACGTTTCTTACACCCTCCGGTTGGGTTTTATTTTCCCGCGCTTGCCGGCGCTGTGTGAACACGCAGAAACATGTGTCACGTGCAACGCTCTCTGTATCTCACCCCGTGACGGGCACTGTAAGATCCAACACCGTAGTCCGTCCAGTGCTCCCTGACGTGCATTGGCTTCCGGTTGCCAAAGGAATACGTTGTTATAAGGTAGCACTGATTGTACACAAAGTGCTTGCCACAAATGAACCACAATACCTGGCCGCTGATCTCATCACGGAGCAGAAACCATTATCACTGGAACTGCGGCCATCCTCGCAGCAGCGGCGTTTGGCTAGCCATCGAGCACCGATAATAGGAAGCCACTGGAGCCACGCACTTTCAAATTATCGTCTCGATTGAAAACTCATTTCTTAAGAACCACTTTTTGTGTTTATTTTGTTGTCCTTCCTCGGCACCTCCGATTAGCACGGTTGGCTACGTACGGTGCGAATGAAGTTCAACACATATCACACCCCCCTGCTGCGAAAGCCTGGCAGGACCCTCCTGAAAGTGAGTCTTGAGACTCAGTGAAGCTTTCCTGAGTAAACAAGCATAGTCACGATAATAATCTACACGTCTTTATTAAATTCGTATGTACAGTTAACTCTTCGTCACTCGATTAACTATGGCTCGTGCGGCACCGTAGCCCCGAACCTGGCCACCCTCGTTCGATCCCTGGCCACGGCTAACGTCAGGGCAGAGCGATGTCCGAACCCGGCGCTGACCAATCTGGTGGCGACGTATGGTCAAGCGACCTTCCACGGCTGACGCGGAGGGACGAGCCCTCCATCCAGCAGTGGATCGACAGGGGGGCTGCACTTTTAATGAACTTATGAGAAAGATGAAGGTGGCTCGGGCCGAACGCTCCTCGGGAGCGGAAGCACGCCGCGCCGAGAGGACGTCCGCCGCGTGAGATGGAGCGGCGAAATTGGCCGCGAGCGACGCCGACAGCCTGGGCGGACGAGGCCTTCGTCCGCGGCCGATGGATCGGAGTGATTCTAAATATATATTTTTAATCTTTGCCAAGAGAGTGTCGGCGGGTGCGCGCGTGTGACCGTTCAAATTCAGAGCGTTCCAGCGGCACCGTGCGTGAGAATCGGAAGCCGCTTTTCCTGCGCGTTGCTCCGCGTGTTTGGGTTCGACAGCCAATCGCAGGACACCACCGGGTGGTGGGGGGGGGACTCGCAGCCGTGATCAGATCGCCCCCCCCCCCCCCCATCGCCGTGCCGTCTTCTTCTGCTTCTGGGAATGTCGTTTTTACTCCGGGGAAGAAAAAAAACAACGGCGATTCCTTTCAGAGCCCCCCCCCCCCCCCCCGCTCTCCCGAGAGGGCGAGAAACTGCATCGCGTCCCGCGCTTCGGCGTCGCGCCAGCCACGCGGTGCCCTCGGCGCCGACGACAACACGCGCGTCTCCCGCGCGCCCCCGTGCCACCCGCATGCACGCGCACCCCGCTGTGCGGAGTTGCAGTGCGAGTTGAGAAGGGGCCGTGGGGATGACGCGAGGTGCCGGGCGAGGTCACTGCCGGGCGTGACGCTCCCTGACCCCCGAGCCGCGATGGATCTCGAGCTCCAGCACCCCTCTCCCAGCCCTCTCCAGCCCTCTCCCAGCCCTCTCTCCCAGCCCTCTCCCAGCCCTCTCCCAGCCCTCTCCCAGCCCTCTCTCCCAGCCCTCTCCCAGCCCTCTCTCCCAGCCCTCTCTCCCAGCCCTCTCCCAGCCCTCTCCAGCACCCCTCTCCCAGCCCTCTCCCAGCCCTCTCCCAGCCCTCTCTCCCAGCCCTCTCCCAGCCCCGTCCCACTCCTCCCCTGCACACTCTTCCCGGCACCCCGAGTTTCCGTGTTTTTTGGGGTCGGGTTGACTCGAACGCCGTCTTAGACGGCAGCCTGAATTGTCTCCGAGTCGGTTTCGCTTCGCGGGTCCACGCGCAGGAGTGAGCCGAGTTCGATTCCCGCTCGCGGTCGACACCGGTGACGATTATTTTAACCGGTCCTAGGGCTCCCCGAGGTCGACTCAGTCTCAAATGGGTACCTGGTGCGATGTGTTGAAAACCACCACTGGGGAGACAAAGGCGGCCGGGCGTGGTGTTGGCCACCCACCCCCTCGTGTACCGTGCCGGCCTTCAAAGGTGCTCGATGACAGCACTTGCCCAACAGTCTGTTAAGGCTACACGGGGGATCTTTGTCTTCGTCTTGTTCGTGTGTCTCTGTGTGTTTGTGAGTGCGTGCGTCCCCCACGTGTGTGCACTTGTAGTGACTGATTGTGCCCCTTCCGACATGCAAGCCACACTGAGGACTCCTTGTGCATGCGTGCGCGCTACGGCAGGATGCTTCATGAAGAGCAGCAACGGGTGCGACAGCAAAACGTGCAGCGTCGACTTCACGCTGTTCTGCTGCTGCAGCGAGGACCTCTGCAACGTCGCCACCGCCACCCTGGCGCCCACAGGTGGGGGGGGTCCGAGTGGACCCATGCGTCTCGTGACCTTGCGCCGACGGGCGAACTGAAATGAAGAATAAAATATAAAAAACATTTTTTTTTTTAAACACGCTTTAATGAAATGAACCGTACTCGTAATGGCAGAACTCCACGACTCCAGGCAGTGGCCCCGCAGCTTGCCACAGCGTAAGGGAGCGTGGTGATTTACAGGCAACGTGAGTTGAGCGTGGACAATTAGACCCGTAAAAAAGATTGTTGAAAAATATATATTTTTATTGTTTAATGATAGAATATAGTATTGTCATCAGTATGACATACCTATACCAAGCTTGCAGTCGATACGACATTGGGAAGACGGTTGAAATTGAGTTACAAGATTTGAGGATACGACAACGGACAGAGTGAGTTAAATAAAAGCGTGTCAAATGTTTAAAAAAATATTTTTTTATGATAGAATATAGTCTTGTCATCAGTATGACGTAAGTATACCAAGTTTGCAGTCGATAGCACATTGGGAAGTGGATAAAATTGAGTTACAAGATGCTTTAAGGATACGACAACAGACGGAGTGAGTTAAATAAAAGCGTGGAATAATAATAAAGAGGCGATTGTTGGTTTAGAGCGGCGGGGTCCATTGCAGCGTCAACTCGATACAACGCAACCGCTGAACCGCGCAGCAGCAGCCGCAGCAGCAGCTGGAGCAGCAGCAGTAGCAGCAGCTGCAGCAGCGGCTGCAGCAGCGGCTGCTACAGCGGCTGCTGCTGCTGCGTCGACGCTTTTCGCCGAGGCTGCGCTGGAGTCGTTTACTTTTGCGGAGTCGAATGTAAACACAGCTCCGAGTCGTATCGTTTCCCAGCTCGAGTTTAATTGCCGCGGCTGTCGGCCAACAAACACAACGCGGAGCGAGCGCTGTGAGCGACGACCCTCGCACTCGATCGCGCGCCCGATCACTCGATCGATCGCATTCTCAATCGCGTGCTCGATTGTTTACTCGATCGCTCGCTCGCAGACGTGGCAGCCCAAAGGGGCTCTCGGAATAACGGCGCCACACACGCGCACGTTTCTCCCACGCACACACACGATCGTTCCTCCCCCAGCACTCTCGCCGGAATTGAATGCTGTGGATTTTGGAATTGATAACTGCGAACTAAAAAAACATAACCAAGTTGAGCTGAACCGTGCGCACAAGTGGCACGCCGCTGTGGCGTGCGTTACAGCGAGGAGCTCTGCGCACAATCGCAAGAATCCGCATTGGGCCCGGTTCAGCACGGAACTGTGCTGTGTGTGAGGGGCTGCGTTAGGGATGGGGCAGGCTGGGCAGCACCAAGGCGAGATCTTATCTCGCTCGCCTGTTATACCGGACTCATGGGTTCGATCCCGATCCTGTGATACCTGCTCTAAATGTGGAGTTTGCGTGTCTCTCTCCCCGTGGTCGCGTGGATTTTCTCCGGCTCCTTTGTGTTTTCCCTCCAAGTTTAGAGTTACATCGCTTTAAATTCCCACACGATGATGAGCCATGTTCTTTGGTTCTTTCGGTAAAGTCACGTAGATAGGAAAAGAATAATGCGAAATAAAGTTAATGAAAATAAAAATAATAATAAAATAATAATAAACAAAAAGAATGTAGACTAAGGCCTGGTTCTTAACCTGAGTGTACTGGCAGTCTACAATGTAGACTGTAGCCTGGTTATTAAGTTTTGTGAGTGTACTGGCAGTCTGTAACGTAGACTGTAGCCTGGTTCTTAACCTCGGTGAGTGTACTGGCAGTCTATAATGTAGACTGTAGCCTGGTTTTTAAGCTGGTGAGCATATTGGCAGTCTATAATGTAGACTGTATTCTTAGGTTTTTTTCGGTAAAGTCACGTAGGTAAAACATTAAAAATAATAAAAGTAAAATAAAATAAAAAATCACGACGTTTCGGAGGCAACACAAGCCTCCGTCTTCAGGTGGAACCGTCACAGCCACGACAGCTGTATCAAGTAAATGAGAGATTGCAGGAGCTACCACTCCGTTTATATAATGGTTGGAGAGGGGGGAAGGGGCAAGTGCAGCACACTTTTTATTCATATGGTAAGGTGAGGCTTAAGAGGGTGAGCCTTTGGTATGGAGAGGTACGGTTTGTGACTCAACCTGGCCTACCTAACAAAGAGAAACAACTAAACATGGTAAACCTGTGATAGTTGTCTCTCAAATAAGATTGGCCAAATAAGTGTAGTTAAATCTTTTTTGCATGGTTAATCACATCTTTCCAATGATTACTCAGTTTGTAACCATCATCACGGTTGAAATTATGTCTGTGTTTGTATATTTGTACTAGCATAAGTACCCGGCGTTGCCCGGGTGAAAAATATATTTCTTAATAACCTTACATATATACACAGATGGGCTGCTACCCCTGCCCCCCCCCCCCCCCCAGCCACGATCTCCTGGGCCGCTGTGCAGTAATATGTACGGCCTATAGTGTGGTGGGGTGTCGAGGCCTAGTACCGTGCAGAGCCTCCGGCCTCGCCTAAATTGCCCACCCGGCTGAGGCTGGGTACAGGGGCCATTACCCCCCCCCCCCCCCGCGCTACAATAATACTGTCTAATCGCTATAATTTTATTATCTACCAACCCTATAATAGTAATTGCACACATTGTGGTGGGGGGGGAGTGAAGAGGACGTGAAACGTTGATGAATTTACCTCAGAGTCGCGTGTTAATGCGTGCGCATATTTTTAACGGGAATTAAAAATGGCGTCCACCCCGCAGCGAATGCGTCGCTACCCGTTGCCAGGGGCAACCGCCGTCCAATGAAACTGCGTATGGTCCGGCGACACACAGACAGACAGACAGACACACACACAGACAGACAGACGGACAGACAGACAGATTTGCGATTTTATATATATAGATGGCTTCGTGTACAAACCTTTGATGGTAGCCAGGAGGTTTGCAGAGAACCTTGGTCTCAGAAAAGACAATTTCATGAGAGCCCACCGAGTTGTAGCAATGATCGGCAACGGCCAAAGAATCAGTTCTGCCGTGTTTCAGATCTGACTTGTGCTCGCGGACACGATCAGAAACATGACGTTTCGTTTCTCCAATGTAGCAATCACCACAAATGCAACTCAATTTGTAGACTCCAGGATATTGTAAGTCAGGAACGACATCCTTCACAGATGGAATCAGATCACGGATTTTATGCACTGTACTGAATCGGACTTGGATCTTATGTTTGTTTAGAATTTTGGAGATCTTTTTGGTCACGCCTGCTATGTATGGTAACGTGACTTACAGTATCCTGGAGTCTACAAATTGAGTTGCATTAGTGGTGATTGCTACATTGGAGAAACGAAACGTCATGTTTCTGATCGTGTCCGCGAGCACAATTCAGATCTGAAACACGGCAGAACTGATTCTTCGGCCGTTGCCGATCATTGCTACAACTCGGTGGGCTCTCATGAAATTGTCTTTTCTGAGACCAAGGTTCTCTGCAAACCTCATGGCTACCATCAAAGGTTTGTACACGAAACCATACAAATATGCAAACACAGACATAATTTCAACCGTGATGATGGTTACAAACTGAGTAATCATTGGAAAGATGTGATTAACCATGCAAAAAAGATTTAACTACACTTATTTGGCCAATCTTATTTGAGAGACAACTATCACAGGTTTACCATGTTTAGTTGTTTCTCTTTGTTAGGTAGGCCAGGTTGAGTCACAAACCGTACCTCTCCATAACAAAGGCTCACCCTCTTAAGCCTCACCTTACCATATGAATAAAAAGTGTGCTGCATTTGCCCCTTCCCCCCTCTCCAACCATTATATAAACGGAGTGGTAGCTCCTGCAATCTCTCATTTACTTGATACAGCTGTCGTGGCTGTGACGGTTCCACCTGAAGACGGAGGCTTGTGTTGCCTCCGAAACGTCGTGATTTTTTATTTTATTTTACTTTTATTAATTTTAATGTTTTACCTACGTGACTTTACCGAAAAAACCTAAGAATATGAATCCTTGCAGTCACGAAAGCTTCAAATCTAGAATTAATGTAGACTGTAGCCTGGTTCTTAACTTGAGTGAGCGTACTGGCAGTCTATAATGTTGAATTAAAAAAAACCACGACGTTTCGATCGCAACACAAGTGGTCGTCATCAGGTAACGGGGGGTTAGCCTCTAAAGGCAAACTGTTTATAAAGGTTTAGAGATGGGCGTAGCCCAAGTGTGTCAGCAGCATGGGCGGGGCAGCTGATGTTGATGTAGAGAAAACAACGACACCGGCAGTCGGGCTGAACGAATAATCGATTTCAAATCGAAATCGAAATTTGACGCAATGCGATTAGCAAATCGCAAGGTTGCGATTTTTGCGATTTTAAAAGTCCTATTACTTTCTTATTGGAATTTTATATTTTGTATTATTATAACTTTATTTATTTAACTTAACAATTGTTCTACGTTTGATTGTTCTATTTAAATTATTATTTTTTAAAATAAATACATGTTGGAAGCAATTCATATCTTTTAAGTTCTCATCCTTGCATTAGAATATATAGATCAGTTCATATTTTGATATCATGTGGTAATGCTCCATCACATGTTTTAAATCTATTACACAGTGAATGTTCAACTAAAGCTTGACTTAATTTTTTTTATCGAAAATCAAATCGCAGTTGCAATATCTGTCAGAAAAATCACAATTTTATATTTTCCCCAAATCGTTCAGCCCTAACCGGCAGTGGGTCTACACCAATCAAAGGGCCGCCAGGCAATCATGGCACCTCGCTCCACACACAACCACACTTCTGACGTTAGAGGTTGACAATAAAACACAAATCAAGTCATGACCCAAAGTGGTTTATGACATCTTTCCATTGATTGCTGAGTTTATAACCATCCTCTCGGTTGAAATTGTGTGTGTGTCTGTATATATGGATGGCTTCATGAACGAATCTTTGTTGATAGCCAGTAGGCTTAGAGAAATCAATTTCGTGTGAGCCAGCCCCATTAGAGTAATGATCAGCCACGGCAGAAGTATTGGTCCTACCGTGTTTCAAATCTGTCTTATGCTCACGAACACGGTCCGAGACATGTCGATGAGTTTCCCCAATGTAATTGTTGCCGCAGATACAGCTTAGTTTGTAGACGCCAGGATATTGCATGTCAGGAATCTTGTCCTCTACAGATGGAATCAGATCATGCATTGTATGTACTGTGTTAAATCAGACCTGGATCTTGTGTTTGTTCATGATTTTGGAAATAGTTTTGGTTACCCCTGCTATGTATGGCAGGGTGATGGTTTTTATTGGATCCTCAGATGGCTCCTTCCTCACGGTTGGGGTGGTGGCCTTGCGGCTTGTGTAGTCAGAATATCCATTCACCTTGAGAGCTTGGTGTACGTGTTAGAGTTTACTGGTTAGGTGTTCATGTCGGAGATACATTGAGCTCTATGGTGTAGCGTTTTTATGAGGGAATTCTTCTGGAATGGATGGTGGTGGGAATCAAGTTTTAGGTAGGCGTCAGTATGGGTTACTTTCCTGTAGACAGAATGGCTCATTGAGTCATCTGGTCTCTTTTTTATTAAGACATCCAAGAAAGGTAGCATGGCATAATGTTCTACCTTCATGGTGGATTTGATGGTCTAAGACAAATGCAGCCAGTACACTCACTTTGATTAAGAACCAGGCTACAGCCTACATTAGTGTTTTTTAATTTTAATAAATGTTATTCACTTTATTTTTATTCTTATTTTTTTCCATCTACGTGACTTTACCGAAAGAACCAAAGAATATGAATTCCTGCAGTCACGAAAGTGTTAAGTCAAGATGATGAGCCACTTCGTTGAGCTATCATTCGTCATAGCCAGGTCGCTTCTAAATAAGAGATATACCGCTCAGTGGGCCTTACCTGGTCAAATAAAATACAAATTGCAGTTAAGAACAGAACCCGTTTGCTCGTCATGGCCCCGATACCGAGAGGGCTGCAGCTCTCGTGCGTGTCCCCCGTGCATGGTAACCCCGCGTGTGAGTAAACGGCGGAGTGAGCCGAGAGGAGTGAGTGGAATCTGAGTGAGGGTGTAGCGTGCATGACAGGAGTGTGAGCGAGAGCCGGAGTGATTGTTAGTGAGAGCGGAGCGAGAGTGGAGTGTGAGTGGAGTGTCAGTGAGAGCGGACTGAGAGTGGAGTGTGAGTGGAGTGTGAGTGGAGTATCGGTGAGAGCGGAGTGAGAGTGTGAGTGGAGTGTGAGTGGAGTGTGAGCGGAGTGTGAGTGGAGTGTCAGTGAGAGCGGAGTGAGAGTGTGAGTGGAGTGTGAGTGGAGTGTGAGCGGAGTGTGAGTGGAGTATCAGTGAGAGCGGACTGAGAGTGGAGTGTGAGCGGAGTGTGAGCGGAGTGTGAGTGGAGTGAGGGCGGACTGAGAGTGGAGTGTGAGTGGAGTGTGAGTGGAGTGTGAGTGGAGTATCAGTGAGAGCGGAGTGTGTGTGGAGTGTCATTGAGAGCGGAGTGAGAGTGTCAGAGTGAACGTAGAGTGATGAGAGTGCGTGCTCGCTGCGTGCGCTGCTGCAGAAGAGGTGACGCCGGCGCCGGTGGCCCCGGGCGGCCATGCCATGGTGGTGGTGCTCGTGTCGCTCACCGCCGCCGCCACGCTGCTCGCCGCGCTGCTCTACGCGCTGCGCCAGGGCCACAGTGAGTGCCCGTTCGTCTTCACGACATCGAAATTAAAGTTTAAAATAAATGCCCGCTCCTGACCGCGGCTGTTTACGGAGACGATGGCGTTTTGGAGAGAGCGGTGCACTTGTGTGTGTGTGTTGACCTTTTTTCGCACCGTACGTAGCCGATGCGGTGCGCTCGGCTGTGCCGGTGCCGTGCATGACCACGGCCGTGCGTGTCACCCCCGCAGAGCAGTGGAAGAGGAAGAGGGGAAGAGCAGCAGAAGCCCAGCCTTATCCCAGCATCGACACCAACAAACTCATGCTCATAGAGGTGCGCAACTTATGTATGTCTGTGAGATTGAACACTAATTTCTTGAGAACTGCTTAGTGCGTTTAGTTTGATGTTCTTCCCCCGCATCTCAGATTGGCGCGGTTGGCTACGTACCGTGCGAAAGAATTTCAACATCAACACGTAGCGAATGGAGCTCATAGAAGTGTCGAACCCATAGAGTTAACAGATCCCATAGGGGTGCGGAACCCATAGAGTTAACAGATCCCACAGAGGTGTAGAACCCATAGAGTTCACAGATCCCATGGACTTCTTCACAAATCTGGCTGTCGCCTGATGAAGCTAGTTGTAATTACTGGCGAAACGTCGTACTCAGATTGTAAATGTTGAGACTTGGCTCTCCAACACACCGGTGTGCTGTACTAGTGATGCATTGGAATGTTCTGTTTACGTGACAAACCTTATTAATTGGCTGTGTCGGGTGGTGGCGGGTTTAACGACACATTTATACATTTACAGCGATCTAACCCAAAAAACTCTTTTATGGAGAACCCATCGTGGGGGTGCGGCAGTGCTGCCACCTCCTGGCCACTTCAGGATGTGGCAGCACTTTCCCACCAACCTGGCCATGGCGACAGAGAGAAAAGTTTGTTTCGTGACAGTCAAACAGATATTTTAAATTGTCGAACTTGGAATTTAGACAAATCAGCTTCAGGACCAAATTGAACGTGCCGGGTTTTTGTTCCCACCGTGCGAAGACCATTAGCTCACTCCACTCGAGAGACGGCTTAACAGCGGGCGACTGAACCCGGATTTGAGACCAGCATGTCAGCAGCGCCAGCCCAACGCCCTGCCAGCTCCCCGCACCACACCAGGATAGTCCTCGTGACGACTTGATCTCGTGCCGCGGCGCTGCGTGGCAGTCGCTCGCTCGCTCAGAGGGGCACGGAAACCACGGGTGGGCAGAAAAGCGGCCACAAGATGGACCCACTGCACCAAAAATTGCCCAAGCTCTGCTGTCCTCTACGTATGAAGGTGTTGGCGCCCAATTTAATGTTTAAACACGGGCGGGAACTGAAGCACTAGGATAAAACCCACATTTGCGAGGGGGAAAATACTATATCCTGTACAGACAGGAACATTCTTGATTTGAAGCTTTCGTGACTGCAGGAATCCATACTCTTTGGTTCTTTCGGTAAAGTCACGTAGTTAGAAATCAAATAAAATTTTAAAAGTCGTGATTTATTTTATTTCTAACTACGTGACTTTACCGAAAGAACCAGAGACAGGCACATGTGTAGTCCATCCACATCTGTTGCACTGCCTTCTCGTGGCGAGCCCAGGGTATGGCCTCATCCTCGACATCGATCTCTGCGTGTGCGGTGATCCACCAACCATCGCAAGCTGCTGCCTCCACAGCAGCGGAGCCACCAGAGCCACCGCCGCCACGGCTAAAAGGGCAAACAGAGGGTCCGTCTTGTCGATTCGCACGAATTTCTCGTAACCGTCACCCCCTGCCGTCCCCTCCCTCCACCTCGCCCACCCCCCGCGCCTGTGGCGCACAGCAAATAGGTCGCGGGCGCTACGGCGCGGTGTGGAAGGGGGTGCTGGACGAGTGCACGGTGGCAGTGAAGGTGACGTCGCTGGAGAACCGGCAGAACTTCCTGAACGAGCGCGAGATCTACCGCCTGCCGCTGGTCGCGCACGGCAACATCACGCGCTTCATCGCCGCTGAGGAGCGCAGCGGCCCTGACGGCCGGCCCGAGTTCCTCGTCGTCATGGAGTACTACCAGCACGTGAGTAACATCGGCACGTGAGTAACACCGCCACTGGAATTGTGGGTTTCACCTTGATGAAATAAAATAAAAATAACTAAATCACGACGTTTCGGAGGCAACACAAGCTTCCGTCATCAGGTGGAACCCCAGCAAAAACATTTTACTGTAGTGGACAGAGAGAGCTGTATGTGACAAGCGATTATATAGGGTAAAAGCAAGGGAGGAGGGATGCAGAGTATGGATCCTTGCTGTCACGAAAACTTTAAATCTAGAATTCACCTTGATGCTCGGCAGTTGAAGTGTTTTCGCCTTAGCCGTCATGCATGAGTGTTTTGCTGTGGCAGTGAGGCTCTCCCGAGTAAACAAGCGGAGTTATAATGATGATGATAGTAATAGAGTGCGTGTGTACGTTGAACTTCTTTCGCACCGTGCGTAGCCAATCGTGCTAATTGGAGGTGCGAACCGTGCCAATATAACAGTGACAACGATGGGGCGTGGGGTGATTGAGCAATGCCCATCTGTGTTCTCCCCGTGGCCGCGTGGATTTTTCTCCGTGTCCTCCGGTATTTCTCTCCACATTTAGAATCAACGTTGCGCGTAAAAACATTTGGCTGCGACACATTGTCACATCACGATATCGGCCACTTTGCCGAGCTGCCATTTGTGATGGCCAGGCCGCTTCTGAAAAAGAGCTAAGCAGCAGCTGAGTGGAGCTCACCTGGTAACATAAACAATGGTTTAAAATAAAATAAATCACGACGTTTCGATCGCAACACAAGCGGTCGTCATCAGGCAATTTTTATTTTATTTCTACCCACGTGACTTTACCGAATGAACCAAAGAGTATGGATTCCTGCAGTCACGAAAGCTTCAAATCAAGATTGAAGAGTTTTAAACTCTCATGCCACCCCCCTCCCCCCACTGTGCCGTGGCTCCGTGTCGCGCCGCTCCCCTCGCTGCCCTCCGCGCGTGACCCCAGGCGCGTGCTGCCGCCCCGCAGGGCTCCCTGAGCAACTTCCTGATGAACAACGCGAGCGAGTGGGAATGCTCGTGCCGCCTGGCGCATTCGCTCACCCGGGGGCTCTCCTACCTCCACTCGGAGATCGTCAAGAACGGCGACTACGGTTTGCATCCCGGCGCGAGCGGCGCATTCTCTGTCTCTCTCTCTGTCTCTCCGTCTCTCTGTCTCTCCGTCTCTCTCTGTCTCTCTCTCAGTCTCTCCGTCTCGCTGTTTCTCTTTCTCTCTGTGTCTCCGTCTATCTCTCTGTTTCTCCATCTCTCTCTCTCTGTCCGACTCTCGGCTTCGTGATGTGCTCACAGGGAAGGGGAAGGGTGTGATCACCGGGAGTTGTTTGATCGCAGAATGGAAATAACATTGAATCTCTCGGCCTGTGGGCGGCGGCCCCATTCCGAGTTGAAGAATCGTGAAGCACGGCGGTGAGCGCATTGCGTTATAAACTGTTGAAACTAAAACGATTTTATTTTACCGGGTAAGGCCCCACTGAGCTATACAACTATTTTTCATAAGTAACCTGGCTATAGCAAATGATCGCTCAACGAAGTGGGATTATCATCACGTGGACATTTATAGCAGCCAAATACTTGGAATGTGTGACGTTCATTCTAAATGTGGAGGGAAAAACCGGACGGACCCAGAGAAAAATCTACGCGACCAACACGGCATGCATGGGGAGGTGTGTATCCAGCAGGCGGATTGACAATTCGCTGTAAATGTTATGCATGAAAACCCGCTTAGATGCTGGGTTCATACTGGGTTTCCGCTGCTCGTGATGTAACCAGACTCTCGAGTTGATGGTCTCAGCACGGCCACCAATGACTGCACAAGAGAAATAATGTATAATGGGATTTATTTTCAGTAATTTAACACTCAAATAAATTGAGAAACATGCGTTTAGATTATTTTGCTGCTATACATTTTCACGTGATAACCAACTTTGTTGAGCTATCATTTGTGCCCCGGTTGCTTCTAAAAATAAGTTAATAGCTCAGTGGAAGCACGTGATTAACCAGGTAAAGTCTTAACTGACTGTGATGTTTTCATCCTACCTGCCTATGTCAGCTGTTATCTCCGACTCTCTGTGTGTGTCTCTCTCTCTCTGTGCATCTCTCCGATCTCTACTCCAATGACCCGGGTGCTGCCGCGGGGTCCACTTTTTGCCCCGCCCTCTCTCTCCCCCCGCCCCCACCCCCTCTCTCCCCCTGCCCCCACCCCCTCTCTCCCCCTGCCTCCTCCCCCCAACTGCCGAGGCCTACTATATAACCTCGTGCCACGGCAGATCTCTCGCCTACTTCAGCAGTTTTGTCTTGCTGTGGTTGTCCCACCTGATGGCGATTTCTTGTGTTGCGATCGAAACGTCGTGATCTATTATTTTTCTACCTATGTGACTTTACCGAAATAACCAAAGAGTATAGCTCAGTGGACTTTACCTGGTAAGATGAAAATATCATGGGACCTGTCCTGCCAGTATCAAAATATGATATTGGCAAACAAGGTATCCCATGATGTAGCTGCTCACCCCAAGCTATAAATGCTCTGATAGTGCATTGTCTTTGTACTCTTCACTTTTGATGTTCTCTGGTCTGACACTGTGAGACAAGGCCCTAAAGAAGGTAGTCTCTGGTGTAGACCAATCAGTTTCAAAGCCAATGCATCATACATTACATTATCAGAGCATGTTTGTTTGCATGTTCACCACAAGTACTGGGTGTGGTTAATGCAGACTGATTCCTCGCAAAAACTGTTACCTATTTGATGTTTGGACATCTTAACACCTCTTGTTTGATTTCCAGAAAGGGTAAAACTTTCGATTTAAAGCTTTCGTGACTGCAGGGATTCATATTCTTGGTTCATTCGGTAAAGTCACGTAGAAGGGAAAAAAACAATAAAATAATAAAAATAAAACAATAAAATTCTCACGACGTTTCGATTGCAACACAAGCAATCATCATCAGGTGTGAAAACCACAGCAAGAATTTTTTTCAAAAGTGCTGTGGTTTTCACACTTGATGTTGATTGCTTGTGTTGCAATCAAAACGTCATGATAATTTTATTGTTTTATTTTTATTTTTTCTACGTGACTTTACCGAAAGAACCAAGAATGGGGTAAAACGTATTATAATTTTCATAAGGTAGAAAAATTTTGTTTTATTTGTGGGTTTTTTTTTTGTGATTTGTTTACCTTTCCTACACTTTGCACTCCCGACCGTGTTTTTGTTTGTTGTTGTAGCGTTCTGACCCCGTGCCCCTCATCGGATTCCTCCTGAAATACAAATAATTATTCAATATTCTCAATGGTTTAACATGCGACACGCAGCTCTGCAAGCCACCAAAAAGTGTTCTCTGCAAGCGTGCAGAGGGGTAGGCCGAGTGAAGTGATGTTCACAATTCGTTCTGTGACGTCATCTTGCCGAGACATTTACTGACACAAAGCGATGCACTGCTCTCTGCAGATTTCCCAACAGAAAACGGCCATCGTCTCGTCAACCGCCACTGCCACTGAATGGAACGCGATCGGTCGCAGGGATTGATTTTTTGTTAATCCACTTTTTATTTACTTTCATTTCAAAGGGTCGTTTTAACGATCGCAATTCCCCCACTCTGCCGCCCCCGTCAGACCAGTACAAGCCCGCCATCGCGCATCGGGACTTGAACAGCCGGAACGTGCTGGTGCGCGCGGACCACAGCTGCGTGCTCAGCGACCTGGGCCTCGCCATGAAGCTGACGCGACGCTCGCCAGTCCAGCGCGGCGGGGACGACGACACCTCCACCATCTGCGAGGTGCGGCCGCATCGCAGGATGGCAGCTGCTCCTCCGCGCACTTCTGTGGCTTAACTCCATTATTATTATTGTGTTTTTTTTCTACATGTGTGTATGTTGAACTTCTTTCGCACCGCACGTAGCCAACCGTGCTAATCGGAGGTGCGGGGGAAGGAGGGCACAAACCCCACCAGGTGGGGACCGCGAGTGGGGAGCACGGATAGGATGAGGGAACAAGAACAAAAGTGAGGAGATAGAAGGGATGGGGGGAAGGCGGAGAGGGGAGGGGGGAGAAGGAGAAAGGGAATGGGGAGAGCACTGAAACCTAAACTGCAAGGCAAAGTAACTTTACACACGCCCAGTGAACGTATCGCCAGATAAAGTCCTGCGGAGCAGTGAATAACTGCTGTCCATCCCCCGGAACTCTGATTATTGTTTTTGTTACGTTTGTACGAATGTTGAACATCGCACCATATGTAGCCAGCCAGGCTAATCGGAGGGTGCGGGGGGAAGGACAACAACAAACTAAAAAAGCACCGCTCCCACGCGCGCCACGCCGCCCGTCACGGGGGCTCGCGAACAGCCCTCGCCCCAACAGCCGCTATAGCTACACGGGGTATCTTCGGCTTTTGTCTGTGTGTGCGTGCGTGCGTGCGTGCGCGGCGGCCACGCGTACGTTCAGGTGGGGACGTTCCGCTACATGGCCCCGGAGGTGCTGGACGGAGCCATCGACCTCACGGACTACGAGACGGCGCTCAAGCAGGTGGACGTCTACTCGCTGGGCCTCGTCTACTGGGAGATCTTCATGCGGTGCCGCAACCTCTTCCCCGGTGAGACGCACGCGCGGTCCGCATGTGGCCCACCCATGGCCCACGTGCGGCCCGCGTGTGGCTCGCGTGTGGCCCACCCACGCCCTACGCATGGCTCACTTACGTGTGGCCGCCGGTACCCGAGACTCCGATCCGCCGTTCAGATGAGGCCCCTGCCAAGAGTAAATACCAGCGTTGCCGCGCCATCGATTCCCACGATACGATATTCCAATTGACGATGTGACGGTGATCACGATATCGGCGCTTTGCTGCACTTCCTGCACAAATAAAGATGACTGACAGGTCCTTCGACTGCAGTTCACTCAGCAGAGGCTGGCAGGCCTCCAGTCGGTCCAGTCCTTACAACCTCGCTATGATGCTCATGACCATGCTGGCAGTTGCATGCAAAGTAATACAATATCAGAATCAGCATCTTTATTTAGGCTGGAGGAATCTGATGAGCTATGAAGCTCTTTCTCACAGATGTCCGGTAGCAATTGCAACATAATCGCCCTGCTGCCGATTACTCGAGGAAAACTGCATTTTAAGAAGCGCTCGACGATAGCTAAGAATTTAACAACTGTAATGACGTCATCCGTGTTTTGTCGGGAAATAAAGTTTCGCAATAAAAATATGAGCGACGATAATGGCCATAATCACGATATTTGGCAAAAAGGATGATAATCTCATTGTAAATATTTCATCTTTCGATACAAAGAAAGTGTCACTACATCGTGGCCATCCTGGTAAATCCTAGATTTGAGAGAAAGGCTTATCCTTTACTTGCACGACGCTGGGACAATATCGTGCATTCTGTGCATCTGGCAGGTGTCTTTAAAAGAAAGACTCAATAACAAACATTTCATTGTTCAAAATAAGGGTTGTTACATTTGTTTGTTTCCAGCCGACATTAACCTTCCTGTTGCTATGGTTTCCTCATCACGTACAGAATGGAATTCATCGATTATTACTTATGTATGTATGTTGAACTTCTTTTGCGCCGTACGTAGACAAACGTGCTAATCAGAGGTGCGGAGGAAGGACAATAAACTAAATACGAAAAGCAGCTCGAAAGGAACGAGTTTGTCAATCTAGAGCAGCGGTGGGGAATGTCTGGCCCGCGGGCCGTATGAGGCCCGCAAAATCATTTAGTGTGGCCCTGCCAAGGCAACCGCAGGCGGGACTCGAAATTCAACAAATCTAGGAGCAAACCTGGAAAAGCAGTTGCGAGTAGCAACATCATCAACAGCAGCTAACATCACACGCCTCGCCAAAGAGAAGCGGTTCCAGCCATCGCATTAGGGGTGAGTTAATTAAATGTTTGACCAAATATAACGGGCTAACTTTTAAGTTGATAATTTTGTATGGCCCGCGAATGATGTTATAAATATCCAAATGGCCCTTGGCAGAAAAAGGTTCCCCACCCCTGATCTAGAGGATTTAAAGGTGCATAGCTCCAGTGGCTTCCTAATATCGGAAGGGAGAGCGGCAGCAGAAACGCATCTGAAAGCGCGCACATGCGGCAACCGCCTGTGTTCGACGGCCAATAAAAAGCCGCCGCCACCGCTGCTGCTGCAAGGATGACCGAAGTCCACGTGATTATTCTGCTTTACGCTCCTTGACGAGGTCAGCCAAGGCATCGTAGTTCATTCGTGGCGCAGCACTTTTGTGTGTCCGCAAGAAGCGCGATCTCGTGACACCGCTGTATTCTACATTTTTATTTAAAGCTTTCGTGACTGCAGGGAATCATATTCTTGGTTCTTTCGGTAAATTCACGTAGAAGGGAAATAATAAAATAATATTTATATAAAAAATACAAATTCTCACGACGTTTCGACTGCAACACAAGCAATCATCATCAGGTGTGAAATCCACGGCAAGAAAATTTTAAAAAAGTGGCAGTTTGTCCTGACGTCAGCACCACAGACAGCGATTTGGCAGTTGGCCAGATGGACGAGTCCATCTATGTTCGGAAAAGATTTTACACCTGATGATGATTGCTTGTTTCGATTTCAAGCTTTCGTGACTGCAGGGATTCATCTTCTTGGTTCTTTCGATAAAGTCACGTAGAAGGGAAATAATAAAATAATAAAAATAAAACATAATAAAATAATTCTCACGACGTTTCGGCCACAACGCAAGCAGCCGTCCCTCAGGTGAAGAAAAGGTCTGTCGAGAAGACAGCGTCTGAATGAAACACCCCAGGCTTGGAGCGTAGCTGCAGTAACTAAACCACCACGTAAAAAACTAAAGTATAAATGATACTATGTATTATTATTATTTTGTTTTATTATGTTTTATTTTTATTATTTTATTACTTCCCTTCTACGTGACTTTACCGAAAGAAACAAGAAGATGATACTATGTAGTTTATACTTTAATTTTTTTACGTGGTGGTTTAGTTACTGCAGCTACATACTATTAACATTCCTTCCCTTTATTAATGCTACCCCTATCCCCTCCCTTTGATGCTGCTAATCCTGCATAATGCACAGGCATAATATGACTTTGAAACCCCCCGCCCACCTCCTACGCATTTCACAAGTAGTGACTAATCCCATATCTGCATTTCCCATAAATATGCTAAATTCCTCTTGATATGCAAATTATTTTGTCAAGGCGCTCTTCCCCCTCCATCCCAGCTTAAATATACGCTCCAAACCTGGGGTGTTTCATTCAGACGCTGTCTTCCCGACAGACCTGTTCTTCACCTGAGGACGGCTGCTTGCGTTGTGGCCGAAACGTCGTGAGAATTATTTTATTATGTTATATTTTTATTATTTTATTATTTCCCTTCTACGTGACTTTGCCGAAAGAACCAAGAAGATGATTGCTTGTGTTGCAGTCGAAACGTCGTGAGAATTTTTATCGTTTTATATTTTTATTATTTTATTATTTCCCTTCTACGTGACTTTACCAAAAGAACCAAGAATATGACACCGCTGTATTCGTTGGGCAACCGGAAACCAACGCGGCTCGGCGAGCCCCGGATGGACCACGGTCGGATCTTGCAGTTACCCCCCCCCCCCCCCCCCTCGTCATGACGCCTGTGCGGTGTTCCCCACGTCAGAGGGCCGAGCGCCGCCCTACGAGATGGCGCTGCAGGCGGAGCTGGGCAACCACCCGTCCTTCGAGGACGTGCAGCACTTTGTGGCGCGAGAGCGGCAGAGGCCCAGGTTCCCCGACGCGTGGAGGGACGACAGCTTCGTGAGTCACGGCCACCTATTTATCCCCTTTTGCAACATTGATGGTCGTCGTCGCGAGGCAAACGCATTTCTATACTCTTCGGTTCTTTCGGTAAAGTGACGTAGGTATAAAATAAAATAAAACTTCAAATCTAGATTAAACGCATTTCTGTTCGAAAACTCTGTGGCTTTTATTGTTGTTTTATTTTTTAACCCAGCTGAGTCTCGTGACTTTTTGTCAGGAGGGTCCTGCCAGGTTTTCGCAGGAAGGAGACGATGTTGCTGTGTGTAATCCACACTGCGATTAGCACCTCCAATTAGCACGGTCAACCATGCCGCGTGTGGCGGGGTAAGGTGTATAGGTACTCGCACTTCTTCAGAGCCAACAGTGCTGGGATGGTGGCTGAGCGCACGTGCTCCAGTAAACTAAAAACGAATCTACTAAACTTTACTTTTATTTTACCAGGTAAAGCCCACCGAGCTATGTAGCTCTTTTTCAGAAGTCTGTCTCTCCTTCTCTTCTCCATTTCTCTCTCTCTCTGGCTTTCCGTCTCTCCGTCTCTGTCCGACTGCCTGTTTCGCAATGAGCTCACAGGGAAAGGTGTGATCACCAGGAGTTGTCTGATCGCAGGATGGAAATAACATTGAATCTCTCGGTCTGTGGGCGGGGGCCCCGTTCCGAGTTTAAGAATTGTGAAGCGGTTAGCACGGCGGTGAGCGCATTGCGTTATAAACTATTGAAACTAAAACTATTTCATTTTACCAGGTAAGGCCCCACTAAGCTATACAGCTCTTTTCAGAAGCGACCTGGCTATAGCAAATGATAGATCAACGAATTTGCTTATCATCACGTGGACATTTATTGTAGCGAAATACTCTAAACGCGTGACATTGATTCTAAATGTGGAGGGAAAACGGGAGGACCTGGAGAAAAATCCACGTGACCACGAGGATCGTGAGAGAGACACGCAAACTCCAAATATATACTGCAGCAGCAGGCGTCATGGTCGGGATTAAACCCACGACCTCCTGCCGACCAGGCAAGGTAGTTAACATCTCCTACCCACCGTGGCACCCCCAAGTCTCCTAGGCCGTGATGACTCGAGCGCGCGCGCGTCCACTCTTGTTGCAGATGATCTCCTGTCTCAAGGCGGTGATCGAGGAGTGCTGGGAGCATGATGCCGATGCCCGTCTCACGGCCAACTGCGCCGAGGAGAGGCTCGCCGAGCTGCAGTCCCTCCGCTCCCCGGGCCCCGCCGCCCCCACCGACACCACCACCGCCGCCCCCACCATGGAAACGAACAACAAAATGTGAGCGCTGCCGTGCGGGCCGTTGCCCTCACTCGCGGGGGACGGCGATTCGCGCGGTTGGCTACGTACGGCGCGTTAAGACGTTCAACATACATAGACTCAGACACAGACCCATAGACTCACACAGAGACCCAAAGACTCGTGCAGAGACCCACAGACTCACGCAGAGACCCACAGACTCACACAGAGACCCACAGACTCACACAGATGCCCATAGACTCACACAGAGACCCACAGACTCGTGCAGAGAGCCACAGACTCACGCAGAGACCCACAGACTCACACAGAGACCCACAGACTCACACAGAGACCCACAGACTCACACAGAGACCCATAGACTCACACAGAGACCCATAGTTTGTTGGCCTTCCATCGCACCCTTCGGCTGTGTCGGAGGCTGCACTCAAACAAGTGGCGGTGCAGCTACAGAGAGTGCAGGTGGTGCAGCTGCAGAGAGTGCAGGTGGTGCAGCTACAGTGCAGGTGGTGCAGCTACAGAGAGTGCAGGTGGTGCAGCTACAGAGGGTGCAGGTGGTGCAGCTACAGAGAGTGCAGGTGGTGCATCTGCAGAGAGTGCAGGTGGTGCAGCTACAGAGAGTGCAGGTGGTGCAGCTACAGAGAGTACAGGTGGTGCAGCTACAGAGTGTGCAGGTGGTGCAGCTACAGAGAGTGCAGGTGGTGCAGCTACAGAGGGTGCAGGTGGTGCAGCTACAGAGAGTGCAGGTGGTGCAGCTACAGAGGGTGCAGGTGGTGCAGCTACAGAGAGTGCAGGTGGTGCAGCTGCAGGGGGTGCAGGTGGTGCAGCTACAGAGAGTGCAGGTGGTGCAGCTACAGAGGGTGCAGGTGGTGCAGCTACAGAGAGTGCAGGTGGTGCAGCTACAGAAAGTGCAGGTGGTGCAGCTACAGAGGGTGCAGGTGGTGCAGCTACAGAGAGTGCAGGTGGTGCAGCTACAGAGGGTGCAGGTGGTGCAACTACAGAGTGTGCAGGTGGTGCAGCTTCAGAGGGTGCAGGTTGTGCAGCTACAGAGGGTGCAGGTGGTGCAGCTACAGAGGGTGCAGGTGGTGCAGCTACAGAGAGTGCAGGTGGTGCAGCTACAGAGGGTGCAGGTGGTGCAACTACAGAGTGTGCAGGTGGTGCAGCTTCAGAGAGTGCAGGTGCTGCAGCTACAGAATGTGCAGGTGGTGCAGCTACAGAGAGTGCAGGTGGTGCAGCTACAGAGTGTGCAGGTGGTGCAGCTGCAGAGAGTGCAGGTGGTGCAGCTACAGAGTGTGCAGGTGGTGCAGCTACAGAGGGTGCAGGTGGTGCAGCTGCAGAGAGTGCAGGTGGTGCAGCTACAGAGAGTGCAGGTGGTGCAGCTACAGTGCAAGTAGTGCAGCTACAGAGAGTGCAGGTGTGCATCTGCAGAGTGTGCAGGTGGTGCAACTACAGAGTGTGCAGGTGGTGCATCTGTATTGAGGCAGCTGTGGAGCGGGGGGACCCCAGGCGCCAGGCTCCGAAGGGCGTTGGGGGGGAGGATTGGACAGGGCCCCGTGCCGTTGCCCTCCTCACCAGGGTGCACGCCCACCCCGTGCTGCGTTGATTTGCCTCCTCCCAGGGGGTGGGAGGGGGGTTGTAAGCCGCAGCATTCTCGATCAAGAGCACAAATCGTCAGAGTACGGCGGAGCATTCGTGGAGCCAAGATGACGTTTGTGAGACACCCACCTTGCTGGGTAATGTGAAGGGGCCTCTCGGGTGGCAGTACAGCGAGACCCTGGAAAGGGCACTATTAAAATCCTAAATCGAATAGAGTTGGCCAAGACCTTGTTTGTTTACGGTTTGAGTATTCCATTGTGCAGAAGTTTACCAGGCACATGGGTGAACACATGCATTGTCCAGGATCCTCTATATATTTCAAAGTGAACATCTGTCGTGGTATGCACTGGCTAAGACTATCTCTGCAGCCTGACAGCATGCTTCCGCTCTGCCCTGCAGAATCCCATTGGCTAAATATCCGGTCCAAATAACCTTGCAACGTTGCAACCTGGAAGGCGTGGGTTCACAGATCTTCACATTTCTACAACCGCTTACACGCGTCACCGGAAGCCCAAGAGCTCTCTCCGTCCCCTCCGCAGTGCTGTGACCGTGCCATCTCGCCCCACGCCCGACAGAAACTCGCTCCGCGGGCAGTGCGACGGGCCGCGTTCCCCGGATGGCGTCTACATCGAGGAGCCTCGCGGCGACCCCAACGGCCGGGTCAAATGCCCGGGCCCTCGGGGCTCCGCGTGCGACCGCGGAAGCGTCGGCGAGAGCGGCGGCGAGGGGACGGCCGACGTGGCGGTCTCCTCCCGGACGGAGGCGGAGCGTGGCTCGTCGCCGGTGCCGCCGGCAAACGGGACGCCGGCCGACCGCGACCCCGCGGCCTCCGTGACCTTGCTGGGTGGCGATGACGCGGTGAAATCTGGGAGGGCGGGCGACGCGATCTACACGAGGGAAGGGGGGGAGAACTTCGGGGAGGGGAGGGGGGGAGGGCTCCTGGGATCGTCCGGCAAGAGTTTCCACGAGATGGGCCTGCTGAACAGCAACCAAAACACGTACGCGGTGTACTGACGCCTGTGGCGGTCCGCCCCACCTGGTATTGACTGAGGTGTGGTCCGGTATTCGGGGTACTTCCATCATCTGTATCGTTTCCCACGGCTCGCCTGCCCGTTCCCGTACGCGGACCGACCAGCTCGGACCCAGCTCCAGGGGAGCCCGGGCCTCCTACTCCCATGAGGCCTGTGTTGGACACTCGTGGTTAGACAACAGCAGTATAGCAGCAACAAACAGGTTAAATGTATAAATATATACCACCTCAATGCGACTTCATCTCACGATGCTTTTCCGAAAGCGAATGCTTTATGAAAGGTGGTGGTGGTGGTGAGCGGGGTGGGGGGACATTAGCACCGGCGTGCGTGCTCCGAGATGGTTCACGCACAGATCGAGGGCATTCCGTTGGTATCGTGCCACGTCGAGACACGGATGATCTGTGAACACCTGCCAGGTCTGTCTGACCAACGTGCAAGACACTGCATCGCAGCTCACTTACTCCCGGAGACATTTAATACATTTGCGTTCATACAGCGCTTTCAGTACAGCTCTGCTCTATTTTCTTTAAAATGTTATCCTTTGTTGTAATGCAATGTTTATTTTTGAGTGCTGGAGGCAAGCTTTGGTAGGTTCATGGAAATCTAAAGTGTATTTTTTATTATTTATAATAGATTTTTGGGTCAGATGGCCTTAGTGAACTCTGTGTTGTGAACCTCCTCCACCCGACAAAGACAATTCATATAGTTGTCAAACATGCCAATCTTACTGCTTCAGCACACTGGTGTGCTGGATACCATTTTACAACACGCATTTTACTTTTGCGATCTAACCCAAATATCAATAAGAAATTCTAATTTATCTTTTGTATAAGGTAGCTGCTGTTATACATAGCGCATTGTGCGGAAATTTATTTTTTTATCAAGTGTACCTAGATGGAGAGTGTGCAGCCAATACACAGCCAAACACAAGAGGTGTTATTGATGCAGTTATTTCACTCGGACAGAGTCACCGGTACCGTGTGGACCATTCGTTATTTGTGTCGGCAGAAACATTGTGGGATTTACCGCGGACAAGAGGAGAGCGCGTGATTAAAATGGCATGGTGCACGGGGGTAAATTTAGAGCAAATGTTGCCAACAACCTTCAGAAACACATGTGCATTTACCAACTGTGGCAACTTGCGTGGCAATGGCGTTGGTCAACTTAAGTTCTGTCTACAGAACAAGAGGAAACTTTTTCAAGTGAAGATTGCCACAAAATCGCTCATACGTTATGGCCATTGATTGCGTCGTGAGAGCGTGTGGGGTCTTGGTGACAAGGTGGGTCTCCATCCAGCAGTGGCTCGATCGTGGTTAATGATGAGCATGGTCTTTTTGGGGGTATCACGTTGGCCTTCCGTGTGGATTTCAGCTGCATCCACGAACCGTTTGGATGCTGGCCTGCAGGAGTTGCCATGGGTTGCTGCCTTGGTGCCGAAAAGCCACGTGCCGAAAAGCCACGCTAACATCTGAATCACTCGGGCTCTCTGCGTCAGCTGTAAGGGGCTGTCCGTGGCCACACGTTGGTCTGTAGTCGTTACTCACGCTGTCAGAGAATGTCCAGCCTTTGTTTACACACGTTGTCTATACAGTAACTCATCTTCAAGAAACTCATCTCCACTGCATCCGATGTTGACTTTACATGTTCTGATCATGGCATATAACCTTTCTCAAACTACAACTCCGTGTGCATGTTGCATAACTCACGTGTGATGCACAATCTCGTTTCCGCCCCTTTTCCCGACATGCCTCCTTGCACTGGAACAAACTCCCCCTCCACATGAAGCAGGCAGCACTCCTCCCTCAAGACCCACCTCTTCTCCCTGGCCCATCCTTCCCTCCATCCCTAGGTGCCCACCCTAAACCCCGTACCCACTAACCTCCCTCCCCATACCCATCCCGATCCACCATACCACCTTTAGCTACCCTCATTGTACCACTCGTCAACGCTTGTAAAGCACCTTGGATAAAGGCGCTGTATAAATATAAGATAAGATTATGGTTGGAATAATTGCTTCTGCCAATTTGATAAATTACTACAATTCAAGGCCACGATATTCTTCCAACGTTTTCTACATGGTATGGTACCACTCACGATGGCTGCAGAATAATGTGCGTTAGTTTATTTAATTTGACCAGGTGGTGAGAATCCAAGCGACCAGGACGAGCCTCATTTGCAAGAATGCCCTGGGGGCATCAGTCTGCCAGGAGGGGGCGACGATTGCTGCCGTGTGTAAAATCTCAATTGAGTCAATTTTCGATTTTCAGCAAATTTGGACTGACGCCGTTACACAACGGCCGACTCTTTGCGTTCGGCGTCAGTGGAATCTTTGAATGTTCACTGTGAAGCAGGCGGCGTGGAGTATTCTTCAAGTTGTTTCACCCGCAAAGCGACACCAGTTCCCCCCGCAGAAGCAGAACTACTGTCTTGCTAGAGCTGCGGTTCAGAAGAGAACCCGCTCTCTTAAGAACAATTGGTGGAGGGAAAGGGTAGAGGACATTTAGCAACTTCCAGACACATAAAAAAACTCCCACGACTCCTTCAAAGCAACCAAAGCCATCTATGCCCGATAAACCAAGGCCGAACGCCTCTCTCCGCGCTCCAGTGATGGGACAATGCTCTCAAAGCTTTCCAAACTATCAATAACGACAACGCGCACCGTCACTGTCACAAGATATGTGGTTCTAGGATTGACCTCATCATCCACCACCTCTGTACCCACAAAAGCTGGCCACCATCGCTGTCCTTGGAGGATCATCATACTCGACCTTGATGAATCCCAGGTGGTGATGATGCACCCAGTGATAATCAGGGCGGCCACTGGATTCGCACCGCGAAGCTCTGCGAATCCAGCAAGTGGTGACCGCGTCACTGCCGCCACGTGAACCCATAACTGTACTTGCACCACAGATTACAGCCCTTTGTCTAGCCACTTCCAAGTGAAGGCCTCCCCATGCCGTTTTAGTCATTGAGGTTGTTTGTGCGGGTTGGTGAAGGGAGAATCAGAAACTGTTCAGATGTCACTCGCCCAACGATGTACGCCGTGGCCTGGAATCGAACGCGGGTACTGGGTTCACAACACAGTGCGCTGACCAGTGTGCTATGGCTCTACGCCAATTAGAATTTGAAAAAGCAAAAATCTTACACATGCAAACTAAACGATAGTTTTTATGTTGCTTAGTAAGGCCCACTGAGTTATGTAGCTATTTTTCAGAAGTGACCTGGCCACAAATGATCGCTCAAAGAAGTTGCTTATCTTTCGATTTAAAGCTTTCGTGACTGCAGGGATTCATCTTCTTGTTTCTTTCGGTAAAGTCACGTAGAAGGGAAGTAATAAAATAATAAAAATAAAACATAATAAAACAATTCTCACGACGTTTCGGCTACAACGCAAGCAGCCGTCTTCAGGTGAAGAATGAGACACTACCAAACTAGGAGCTTATATATAAGCTGCATTGGGGGTTGAAGAGCGCCTTAACAAAAAGAATGTGCATGTGAAGAGGGATTTAGCATATTCATGGAAAATGCGTAGGCGTTGGGCGGGGGGGTGTCAAAGTCATATTATGCCCATGCATTATGCAGGATCAGCAGCAACCAAGGGGGGTGCAGGGATTAGCAGTAACAAAGGAAAGGAATGTTAATGATATGTAGCTGCAGTTACTCAACAACCACGTAGAAAACTAAAGTATAAACTACATAAAAAAAAAAAAAACTAAAGTATAAACTGCATCGCACCATCAGTATACTTACTATACTCTATAATAAGCTGAGTTACTAACAGCAAGTAATACATTACAATTTTACCTCGTAAAAATTCTATAATATGCTTTTACGAGGTAAAATTGTAATGTATTACTTGCTGTTAGTAACTCAGCTTATTATAGAGTATAGTAAGTATACTGATGGTGCGATGCAGTTTATACTTTAGTTTTTTTTTTTTTTATGTAGTTTATACTTTAGTTTTCTACGTGGTTGTTGAGTAACTGCAGCTACATATCATTAACATTCCTTTCCTTTGTTACTGCTAATCCCTGCACCCCCCTTGGTTGCTGCTGATCCTGCATAATGCATGGGCATAATATGACTTTGACACCCCCCCGCCCAACGCCTACGCATTTTCCATGAATATGCTAAATCCCTCTTCACATGCACATTCTTTTTGTTAAGGCGCTCTTCAACCCCCAATGCAGCTTATATATAAGCTCCTAGTTTGGTAGTGTCTCATTCTTCACCTGAAGACGGCTGCTTGCGTTGTAGCCGAAACGTCGTGAGAATTGTTTTATTATGTTTTATTTTTATTATTTTATTACTTCCCTTCTACGTGACTTTACCGAAAGAAACAAGAAGAAGTTGCTTATCATGACGTGGAAATGTATAGCAGCCAAATACTCTAACAGAATGTTTCAAAATTGGACCCGGAGAAAATTTTCACACAACCACGGTGAGAACACGACCTCCTGTATACCAGATGAGGGAGTTAACATCTCGCCACCGTGGCGAGATGACGTATCAGCCGTGAGCTTAAGAATCTGTATTAATAGATGAATCGATGAGTCGCTTTATTCCTTGTATGAATTACCATGTTTTGTTTGCGTTACTGGTAAACGCAAGAAATGTTTAAATGAACCATTTACCGACTTGCTGAACATAGACAAGTCGACAGCTACCGACACGTCCAGTTCAGCGTGGAAGAGTAGGTCAAATTCCCTCTAGAGCTCCCGCTAGTGGAGGCCCTTCCTCCAGCAATGGTGTGAGCTGCAAGCAACTGCAGGGCTGCGCCTTTACCTTTGCGCTGTGTAACGAGGGAAAATGTTTCCTTGCGGTGACTTCGGGCACCGTGTGCTTTGCACATTCGCGTTTGCCGATCGGCATGTTCGTGAACCGACTTTTGAAACCGGTAACTGGTCCCGATAACGGTTACTGATTTTACTGGTTGCCGTTCCACAACCCTCGTATGAATTCAGTTTTTACTAGATTAGAGACTGCACCATACATGTCAACGAGCATGGCTGTACAAGTGTTTGCCTTTCCAATCCGACTCTCAGCTCCCAACCTTTTACGTTTCAATCAAAGGTTTCTGAATCTCGGCATGGGCATACCCTTACAATCCGTAAGTCATTAAATGTAAGGCCAAAACCATTGTAAAGTTGTGTGCATTTGAGAATAATCTGCCAGCAGTAGAAGCTAGGCGACTGGGGAAATTATAGGTACAAGAAGCCGGGGGAAGATAGCGAATTAAGTAACAGTGTGCAATTTGAACATTGGATGCAAGTGGGAGGAGTATCACATGCAAAGCTTTTTTAGCAAATATCATGGACAGAGCTAAATGGTTGAAGGTCATGGATGGCCGACGTCTTTTATAACGGACGTGGCACGGAGAGAGGATAGATCGTGGGAGACGACAGCAAATCACGAATTTTTGAGTTCACGGGGTGCACAATGGGGGGTTTTATCAAATAAAATGTTGTATTAAATAACTCCCCATAGTTGACTCAAATAATTATACTGTGAAGCTCTTGCTAAGACGAGTTGGAGAAAGAAATGAAGTATTGAGATGTTTTCACAAAGCATGCCTCCAAATTGCGGTATTTCAATGTAGAGTAGCTTTGGCTGGTTCATATTCCAATGCAGCGAATCCCAAATGTTGAGATGATCTCTAAATCTCAAGACACTTAAAAATGTTTCGCACGTGTTGTCTAAAACGATACTGTTATACGATTTGTGTATGCCTTATCACCATGTATTTTGTATTACGATTATTTATATTGATACACTTTTGTCATAGCTTTTTATATATTGATGTACAAAGTTTGTCGGGACAAAATAAAAGACAGATGTTGAACGCTTAATGTGCGGCTCGCTTCTTTTTTATGAGGATTTTTTAAACAACAACATAGGCCCGAACAACGCTTTAGGTGATAAGACGGGGGAATTTAAACGCGGGTGTCGGGGTGGTAGACATCGATCGCCTTGCACACAAATGAATCGCGTCGGGAAGCCAATGTGCTTTTATCTGGGGGGGGGGAAGGGGTGGTGAGGGAAGAAGGGGGAGGGGGGTACATTCAATTCATGGAGCGGTAGTGCCAGGCCCGCAGGGGAAACAAGAGTCGGGGGTGTGAGAGGGGGGCGAGCTCCATTATTCTTCAACACGAAGACTCCAGTCGTTGACTCCATGGTCCATCATTTGAGTTGCATGGCCACAATCGCAGCACTGTGGCTTGTCTTTAATGTCCCATCTATGAATGGAGACGTGTGCATCAGCCTATTGGTGCTCTGAGGCGGTTGATGATTATGTAATTACCGAAAATTACCCCAAGCAAATGTGCAGCCTGACGGTTATTTAAAAATAAACCAAAGTCTCTGATTGGAGGAAAGAGGTCTCCATAGGGATTGACCAGGAGGCAGGCTTTAGAAGTGATTGAAGGGAAAGTTTTGAAGGAGAATAGGCGGGAAACAAGGTGGAATCCAGAGGCGACGGTATGGATCAGTTAGAGGGAAAGGACAGGGATTGGCTGAGGGAAATAGGATGAAGGAACATTCCAGAAAGGGGGGCTGAGGGATGTATAAGGGGAGAGCACGAGGAGCGGAGAGGTTCGGAGGAGGATACAAGCCGTAAGACAGTCACGAAGCCTAGGATCTCTTGTTGTGTCATCCATAGTAGGGTTCCTTATGGAATAACTCATAAATTGGCCGTTCTTATATTGTTGTCGTCGGAGTCATTACAATTACACCACCGGTGTCTTCGATGAATGTCAGAGCCAGGAGGTGCGATGTTTGGGTCTCACACGAGGCATTTATTCTGGACGTCCGTATTCTTCCGCTCTGTTCGCTAGAATTCTTCCGGATCTGGGTGAGATTCTAGGGTGGTGACAGTGTGATCGACATTGTTGAGGGTTTGGTTATGGGAAAGTGGCAAGAAAACGTGTAAACTCCCTTGCAGTTTGCACATCTCTGTGGATATTTGTTGGCAGAATGTTTGCCAGACCAGAGAGCCAGGAGATTGGTGTTGGTCTCAGGGTATATGTGCATTAATAAATTATGTGTAGCAGTTTTGTGCATGAGCTTCCGGACCAGGCTTGGAGCACATTACTCTGCCACGGAGTAGATCAGAGAGAGGGCGACAGTTGGCAGCACATCCATCGCATGCTCAAGCAGATGCTGTTTGGCCTTAACGTTTTGAATAATGTGTTTCTGCAGCAACGTTACCTTCCAATTGTCAATCTTTCCTGCTTTATACATTGCAATCCGAAATGTATTAGAAAAGGTGCGATAGTCACTTATTTCTGTGGAGCCAGTGTACGCTGTGTGTGTGGTCTACTCTGAATCAGTCGAGCATTATCATCTTTCCATCAGCTGCATAACGCTGTGGACGCGACCTGTACGTCACCAACCGTGCTAATCGGAAGTGTGAAACCCATCTATGAAATAAATATACGAGTACTGACATCTCGCATGTACGCAGAGGTACTGGCACAGGTGACAGTATGTGGGCGTGCGTGGGTGCGTGTGGGGTTGCATCGGTGAGCATTTAGGAGTGCGTGGATGCACGTACGTCTGTGTGTGGGTGCAATGCGTGTGTGGGGGGCAGCGCATGGGTGGGTGACAGTGCCTGGAGTGTGTATGCGCGTGGGTACGAGTACACGTGGGTGCGTGTGGATACGTGGGAGGCAATGCGTGGGGTGTGTGCGTGCATCGTGGCGCAGCTCGTTGGCCGCCTTTGCTGATGGCCAAGTGGGGCAGGTCGACCACGTCCACCGGTTCGCACGCCGCCGCCCGTCGCACCTCGCACAGCTTCCACTCGGCATCTGGAAGCTACGTAGCACCAGCGCTGCCTGCCGATAAACTGCGGTGTTCTGCCACTCGTGGTCACAGTGACCGGGTAAACAGTAATAACTTAACATGCACAAATTCAATGTTGAATTTATGCCTTGTACACAGCATCCATTTGACCATCGCTGAGCCTCAATAATTTTTCAGGAGGTTCCTGCTGTGTAATCTAAATAAAGTAATCTGCATGTATTTTTAGAATTGGGATGTTTAGCCAATACTAATTACATCGTATGTTTTTAGCTATCGGAGGAACCCAGAGAACCCGTGCAGAGCAGAGACGAGTGAATAAACTCCACGTAGAAGTGCGCCTGAGCTGGGGAACTCTTCTCACTCTGGGGCCGAGTGTTACCACTGCGCCAAACAAGTAAAGGGTCAGTTTAACACGTAGGCGTTCGCGACCAAAATCATCCATAATACAGTTTTTTTTGGGTTAGATCATGTAAATATATTAATATATTGTTAAACCCGCCACCACCTGACACAGATAATTATTAAGGAGTGTCCCGTAAACAGAACATGCCAATTCGTTACTAGTACAGCACACCGGTGTGTTGATAAACTAGCCAGATGCGTGGGGGGGAAAACATCCGAGTCAGATTTGGCACGGTCCATAAAATACAGAAATTAATACCTGGTACAAAAGATGTATTACCGAAGCTATCAACAAAAGGTGTGTACTGGCTAAATCGCACTTGTGGCAAATGGCATGTTGGGCAGACAGGACAAATGATCAGCACGACACTAAAAGGACACAAAAGAAATATTAAATACTCCCAAATACAACTGTCATCAGTAGCACAACACGTGTGCCAACAAGGACACTCAATTGATTTTGACAATGTTGAAATTCTGTGTAAAACTAGTGACTACTGGCCAAGACTAATTCGATAATCTATCGAAATTAAGAAAAAATAAAAATAATCGTAATCGTTCGGATAGCTACATACTTAGTGCTGCTTGGAAGCGAATCATGAAATAAAACATTGTTTAAATGCATGCCTATACAGGCCACCATACTTCAATAGGGATTACTGTTGGTACAGCTATTTTAATACACACAATGGACAGGAAGTACAAGATCAATGGGCTCACAAAATGTGCATGCATAATAATGTGCATGGATTCATTAATCCCCTCCCCACTTCGCGCAACGAAACAGGTAGACTTCTCCACAAATCTGGTTGTCGCCTGATGAAGCTGGTTGTAATTACTGGCGAATCGTCGTACTGAGATTGTAAATGTTGTGGCTTGGCTCTCCAACACACCGGTGTGCTGTACTAGTAACTAAATGGCATGTCTGTTTACGTGACAAACCTTACTAATTGGCTGTGTCGGGTGGTGGCGGGTTTAACGACATATGTATATATTTACGCGATCTAACCCAAAAACACGTGTATTATGCAAGTAAAGGGTGATGACATCAAAGGAGTCAATACAAATCCTCGTATAGGCACACGTGGAACTTTGCACCGTAAGCAGCCCCTCATGGACAATACTGTAAAGTGCAAAATGCCCTGATGAGTCGCCAGAGTTGCTTTGACAAAGATGTTTTTATTCACATGTCCAATGCATGGTAATATTCCAACAATAAACATACTGCCCACCGTTACAGGTCGTGCACATTCTTATTTACAGAGCTCACTGTGGGGATTTTCTAGGATTGGTGGAACCTTTTCTTAAAACGAACACACGAGTGTTGGGAAAAGGGGAGAGGAGGGGGGTGGGAGAGTGGTTAACTGATGGGAGGTGAGGGAGCTGAGTGTTGGCTGGGGGGCATCTCACAGCGTTCACAAGCTGTGTCTGTCCTGGTGATACTGGGCCTGAGGGTCTCCGATATGGGAAGGGGGTTTAATGGGTTATTTAAGAATGGGTCCCATGTTCTTTTAAAGTATGCCGACTTACCTTTAAGCCTGCATCCCACGTGGTCCAGAGAGACTTTAGCTCATAAGGATAGAGGTTCGTGAGATTTACACATGCTCAGTATCGTCAGAATCAGCATAAGTATGACGAGACGCTACACATAACCTTTTTGGAGGAAAGCATTTGGACTTTTAGAGATGCACTGGGATTTGACAGGTCAATTTTCCCTGGCCATCTCTTTCAAAAGGACACTATTTTTTAAAGGTAACTTTTTTTTTAAAGGAACTTTTTTCTACGGGCCACTTTTTGAGAGGAAATCCAATCAACTGGCAGTAAAAATCCCACAATTTGAGGGGAAACCCAAGAAGCTGAGAGAGAAAATCAAGAAACTGAAAGAGAAACCCATGAAACAGAAAGACAACCATTGAGTGAATGAAAGATGAGGAATTAGGTGGGAATGAGAAAAAGGGTGAGGAGCAAGGGGGAGGAGAGAGGGGGGGTGTGGGGGTGGGGGAGGGGGGGCCGCGTGAGCGCTAGGGGAAGAGGACGTGAGGTGGGGGGGGAAGTGGGCGGGGCTAGAAGTGGGAAGCTGAGTGTGGACACGGGGGGAAAGACAAAAGGTGCTAGTAGACCGGCGGATACGATAAGAACAACCACAACCAGTTAAGGCATTACCTGGTTAATAACATCCTTCCAATGATTGTTCAATTTGTATCCATCTTCTCGGTTGAAGTTATGTCGATGTTTATATATCTGGATGGCTTCATGAACAAACCTTTGATAGTAGCCCGAAGGTTTGCAGAGTACCTTGGTCTCGGAAAAAACAATATCATGCGAGCCCACAGCGTTATAACAATGGTCAGCTACGGCAGAGGTACTGGTTCTGCCGTGCTTCAGATCTGCCTTGTGTTCGCAGACACGGTCCGAGACATGTCGTTTTGTTTTCCCAATGTAACTGCTACCACAGGTACAACTCAGTTTGTAGACTCCAGGGTATTGCATGTCAGGAATGACCTCCTTCACAGATAGGATTAGATCACATATTTTGTGTATTGTATTGAATCGGACCTGGATCTTGTGTTTGTTTAAGATTTTGGAAATCTTTTGGTAACACCTATGTATGGTAAAGTGATGGTTTTGATTGGCTTCTCATTAGATTGTTTCTCCATGGTTGGAGAAACAGCTATGTGAATAATGCGGTCCGAGTACCCATTCATCTTGAGGGCTTGGTGTACGTGTTCCAGTTCACTGGCTAGGTGGTGTTGGTTGGAGATGCAGTGGGCCCTATGGTGTAGTGTTATGATGAGGGAATTCTTCTGGGCCGGATGGTGGTGGGAACCAGGTTTTAGATAGGAATCTGTGTGGGTGGATTTCCTGTGGACAGAGTGTCCCAACGAGCCGTCAAGGCCTCTTCTCAAACAGAACATCCAGGAATGGTAGCTTACCATCCTTCTCCACTTCCATGGTGAATTTGATGGATGGGTGTATGAAATTGATGTGGTTGAGAAATTGGTTCAATGCTGGCAGGCCATGTGGCCAAATGACGAAAGTGTCATCTACGTATCTATTCCACAAGGAATGACGTAGGGTGGATGTCTGGATGCCTAATTTTCAATGACCAATATCTTTTTTCATCTGCCACTTTATTTTTATTTTTACTGCCCACATTATTTTGATAGGCCATATTTATAATATTTATTTTACTGCCAACATTTTTAATGCTGGCCATTTCCTGTTTTAATCGGCATGCTTTTTTGAAGTGGCCACTGTTTTTTGACTGCCCAATTTATTTTTACTGACCACAGTATTTTTAAGGGCCACTTTATTTTGACGAACCACTTTTTTACTGGCCGTATATTTTTTATGGACGAATTCTTTTGAATGGTCACTTTTATTATTTTCCCAGCCAGATATTCTTGACTGGCCAATTTGTATATTTTCACAGCCAGAGTTTCTTGACTGTCCATGTTATTTTTTTAATAGCAAATTTCCATTAATGGCCACATTTTTTTCAATTGCCCACTTTATTATTTAATAGGCCCTTATTTTCACTGGCCAATTTATTTGACTGACCACATTATATTGATGGGCCACATTTCTTTTACTGGCCACTTCATTTTGAATGGCCAATCTTTTGACTGCCCATATATTTAAGGGCCAATCCGTTTTTCCAGGCCAAATTTTCTTGATTGGCCAAATTTTTTAAAAGGCCAATTTATTTTTAGTGGACACTATATTTTTAAATAGGCCAATTATTTGTTTTAATGGCCACTTTTTTACGTGGCACTTCTCTTTTAGTGGCCAAATAACATTTCACTGGCCACTTAATTTTGACTAGCCACGTTATTTTGACTGGCCACATTTTTTGACTGGCCATATCTTTTTTACGGACCAATTACTTTGAATGTCCAATTTATATTTATATCCCGGCCATAGAGTTCCTTGAGTGGCCACTTTATTTTTTACTAGGCCAATTATTTTTTAGTGGCCACTTCATTTTTTAAAAGGTACACTTTGTTTTAGTGCCCATTTTTTTCACCGGCCACACTTTTTACGGGCCAATCCGTTCTCGACTGTCCACTTCATATTTTTTGCTGGATAGATTTTCTTGACTGGCCATTTATTTTTTACTAGGCCAATTTTGTTTTAGTGGCCAGCAGAGCTCAGTTCGTCTCAGCCCAAAACGAAGAACCAGTGAAGACTGAAGGCCAGCTAGCGGGACCCTGGAACTCCTCTGACTCGTTGCCCTTCTGAGGGCCGGGCAGAGCAAGCCAGAGGTGCGACCCCCAGAGCAGCGAGGCCCGATGTCCTTGTGAGGGCCGGGCTTGTGTGGCTGAGGGTCGGGACCTGTGCCGAAGCTGGGCCAGGAGCTAGCCTCCATATGAGGAAGGTCTAGGATAGAGGGAAGTAGGGAGTTAATGTGGAGCGTTAACTGGGGAACACTTCCCCTGACTAGACCGGGTGAAGAGGCCGATACCTCTTCGAGTGTTAGTCGTTACTCTGCTGTATTGAAGTTATCTGTAATAAATACGTGTTGCCTCCATCAACCATCTCTGTCGTCACAATCTCATTACACTAGCAAGGGCTGGCCATAGTAAATGGTGTGGCTTGGGGCCTCACCTAGGTCAACTCCGCCTCAAATGTGTACTTGGTACGGGGTGTACAAACATCGCCACTGGCGTGGTGCTGGCTACCCACCCACACCCCTCGTGTACCGTGACAGGCCTTAATAGTTGCTCACGACACAGCACTTGCCCTGACAGTCTGTTAAGGCTATACCGAGGATCTGTATCTTTGTGAGTCGTGTTGTGGTACAACGTATCCATGTAGTGGTGTGGCGTAGTATTGTGGTATAGTGCGGGAGTGTGGTGGAGTGCAATTTCGTGTCGTTGAAATTGTGGATGTCGTCTGAAACTTTACACCGAATCGCACTCACATTCAATCACCCGTATCTGCTCCACCACTCGGATGTAAGTCTTCACTCGGGTTGACTTTGTCGAGGATATAAAGATCAAAAACCGCGTCCGTAAAGAGAGAGAGGAGAGCGACCTGCAATGCGACTGCTCCCAACGGCCCCGGAACCACAAATGCGCTGGGAGGCACGTGACGCGGCCTCGTGACCAGAACGGGCCACGCGGATTGGCTGCCCCTGTAATTCTAATAATGCGGCGCCAGTGGCGGTTGCCGTCTCGGTGACCGCGCCCGAAAGCCACGCGGTGACGGTCACGTGCGGGCGTTTGTAATATGCAGGAAGCCTCCCATTGGTGGAGCGCCGAGTGGGGGGAAGAAGCCGGCTTCCCATTGGTGGACACAGCCAGTGTTTTGAAACGTCATCACGCACGCCGCGGTGACGTCACCACACACGCCGCCGTCATCACGCACGCCGCGGCGACGTCACCACGGCTCCCCAGGGCGGCAGGGGAGGCGGAGCTAACTACTTGCACTGCTGTTGGCTCCCAGCATTCACCAAAGATCCCCCGTGTAGCCTCCACAGACTGTTGGGGCAAGTGGTGTTAGCGAGTAGCACCTACAAAGACAAAGATCCCCCGTGTAGCCTCCACAGACTGTTGGGGCAAGTGGTGTTAGCCAGTAGCACCTACAAAGACAAAGATCCCCGTGTAGCCTCCACAGACTGTTGGGGCAAGTGGTGTTAGTGAGTAGCACCTACAAAGACAAAGATCCCCCGTGTAGCCTCCACAGACTGTTGGGGCAAGTGGTGTTAGCGAGTAGCACCTACAAAGACAAAGATCCCCCGTGTAGCCTTAACAGACTGTTGGGGCAAGTGGTGTTAGCGAGTAGCACCTACAAAGATCCCCCGTGTAGCCTCCACAGACTGTTGGGGCAAGTGGTGATAACGAGTAGCACCTGTGAAGACCGGCACGACACACGAGGGGGGTGAGTGACCAGCACCCCATTGGCGATGATGTTTACACACCGCACCAGGTACTCGTTTGAGGCTGAGTCGACCTAGGGGAGGCCCAGATAATCGTCACCGGTGTAGGCCGTGAGCGGGAATCGAACTCGGGTAGCCAGGTTCGCAGGGCAGCGAGCGACTACCGCTCCCCAACATTCACCAACCCCGCACTGACCAGCGTGGTGAAGTATGATTATAGATTTGAAGCTTTCGTGACTGCAAGGATTCATATTCTTAGGTTTTTTTCGGTAAAGTCACGTAGGTAAAAATTTTAAATTAATAAAAGTAAAATAAAAATAAAATAAAGATATTATTAACCATGCAAAACAGAGTTAACTACACATATTTGGACCATCTTATTTGACAGGCACTATTCTTCAGTTACCGTATAGTTTCTTCTTTTTTCACACACTGGTTTTCCTACTTTAAGTTTTACCACACATATTTGGCAAATCTAGAATTAATCCCAGCAACGTAGCAAAGTGCTGTTTCATCTACATAACAAAGGCTCAGTCCCATTCACATCAGCCGCACCTTAACAACTTTTAGAACCTCCCAGTTCAACCAGTCTACACAACAAAGACTCATTCCTGGCAGCGGTTTCAGCTGCACCACCTCTACATAACAAAAGGCTCAGTCCCATTTACGCGCACCTTTCCATCAGCCGCACCTTAACAACTCTTGGAACCTCCGAGTTCAACCAGTCTACACAACAAAGGCTCATTCCTAACAGCGTGCTTCAGCCGCACCGAACCTCACAATAATAATATTCAGGGCCTACCTTGGCTCCTCCCACCCTCAACTAGTATATATACAAGGACTGTTTTCTTGGAATCTCTCTCACTTGATACAGCTATCGTGCTGTGAAGGTTCCACCTGAAGACGGAAGCTTGTGTTGCCTCTGAAACATCGTGATTTTTATTTTATTTTTTATTTTACTTTTATTAATTTTAATTTTTATTTTTTACCTACGTGACATTACCTAAAAAACCTAAGAATATGGTGAAGTATGGTCAAGTCACCCGCTCCACCTCGCACTGTGCAGTGGGTTGACAAAATGTGGCCATGGAGCTTGCGTGATTAACACTCTACCGGAATGGGAATTGTTCATTGGATGTTTGCATGGATCCCTCAGGAGAATTGCTGCAAGAGTGAATGTAGGAAGGCGCGTGTTGAGCAGTGGCAATGTTGCCGAGGCGATTCTAATGGATTCATGGTTTAACCGAAGAAATCCATGTATCAACGGTCTAGTAAATGTAGCACACCGAACATGCCTTACGATGTATATTCATCACGCTATTGATGTTTAGTACCCCAATGGCTGCAATGGATTAACGCCATTTATTAATCTGCAAAACCCTCATTGAGTCTCAAGGCTCAATGGATCCCGCAATGGGAGGTTGCTGCAATAGGTTGTTTGGCCAAATCCCATGAATGAGGGGTTATGTGTAAGCAAAGCAGCCGTACCTGCAGCCAGCTCTCCACGCATGCGAGGGCTCAAGAAACCTGGATTCAGCTCATTTGCAAGAGCGACTTGGGTCATTGGTCTGGCAGGAAGGGGGCGATGACTGCTCCTGCTTTGTGTAATCCCAATTGGGCACATTTGTACCCTGAGGTAACACTCAAAGGTCCGCAAGGTTGCGTTCACAACCCATTTGCTGAGCAGTATTTCATCTGCTGGACATCGCAGTCCAATTGCTGTGGGAATGTCCACAGATCTCTTATAACCAAGCGCTGCTGGGCTTTGAGGCGAAAACGCGACCCGTCTATCACAAATGATAGCTCAACGAAGTGGCTTACCATGTGGAAATGTACTGCAGCCAATTGCTCTCAACGAATGTTTCTAAATGTGGAAGGAGAAACTGGAAGACCCTGAAAAAAATCCACGCGACCACGGAGAGAACACGCAGAGGGTCGCCTGTATAGCTCCAAATGAGTCATCTTTAAGCTACAGGTGACAGGTGCAGGCCTTATGAAACAAACAATAGCATGAAACAATAGAATATCGTAGACTGGAGGAAAAGAACGAACAACATGGGAAGTGCCATTGTTTGAGAAAGTATCGGGGTGTGTTATTTGTGATGGATGAGGTGACAGTGACGGAATTGAGTAACAATGGGGTAGAGAAACGGAGCAAGAGTTTTTGGGTGGGAAATCAGCAGCAGCAGTCCGCCTCACCCGTCCGAGACATGGGGCGCTCTCCATGCACGGGGAGGTCACCCCGATGGTGGAACTCGGCTCCCTGGCCAAGCGGCACGGTGCGTCGCTCTTCGTTCGCGAGCGCAACGCTGATGGTGCATTAGTGGGGGGGGGGAAGAAGGCTAGAGGAGTGAGGCATTCACCCAGCAGTGGAGAGACCCTGGCTTATACGGATTGTGCATTGGAGGGAGAGCAGGCTGGAGGCGGCATTCATCCAGCAGTAGATGTGTTGCATGCACTCACAGAATCAAGTTTAAGATGAAAACGGACATCGGAATCCAATGTTCTTCATTAATGTAAAAACGGGCATAAGAATATATTTTTTAAAATACCTGGTTAATCGTTATTTGCCGGCTAATCGCTGCGTGGATTAATTGGCAATCGATCCATGGATTGAGTAGTCATGTGACGTGCCCCCTTTATTTTATCGGCTAATATCCGCAAGATCGGCGTTTCAATCGCTGCCTGCTTTTATTGGAGCACGGCGCTCACGGCTGAACTGCCAAATGCACAGTAGCGCAGCCAGATCGGTACTTGGGTCAGTAGCCGGAACATTTATGATACAATTCAAAAAATAATCGCTCGCTTTTCAACACTCCTCTTTAATATTGCTTTACAAAAAACAATCAACCGGTCGATTGTTTTTGCCTCCACGTGGCAACTTGATCTGATTGGCTCTGTCAGGTAGTGGAGGGTTCTAGTTAAAAAAACAACCGGCATTTATCTAGTGATCGAACCCAAAATAAACTAATTGTTGAATCGTGGGGGTAGTGAAAGCCTATGCATAAAATTAGCCAGTAGTTGCATATATTTTGAATAATTCGTTGAGAACTATTATCTATGAGTGTGGAATGAGGGGGGGGGACCTCACGGACCCCATCTGTAATCATAGCAATGAAGTATCCACCAGGAGGGGACAGACCCTACTTCCAAAGCGTGGCTGGCGTGCCACCACATGGCACACCATCTTCATAATCGCCACATCACCACCATGAATTCCATGAGCCCAAACTCCATGATGCTGCTGCACTCATCACTTGCATTGCCAGCTCACCACATCCACCTAAACGTTCTCTACCCCGTTAGAAAATACGGACACTGACATGTTTAAGAAACAAAACCAGTCCCAACAATGACATCAACAGAAATGAAAAGACCAAAGCAGACGGTGGCCGATGTATGATTTACAGCACGCATCAAGTGCGCTTTTTTATTTAAGTTTGATCGTTTTAAAGATCAACGTTCAGCGTAAAGTAAAAAATATCTTGCATGTTTTAACACTGTCGATGGGCTGTGAAATGGACTATTGGAACAAGCGCAGCCCGCCACCTCTGCTGATCCCCCAGCCGATGTCCAAATACCCATTTTTGTTTTCCCCTGCAACATCCGAACAGAGCCAGTGTGGAGCCCTCACGGTACTACGGGTGGTTTTCCACTGGCCATTTGCCGTGCAGAGTGAAGTAAATCGTGCTATGCTGGCCTCACAATACATCCGACTCGGGGGGGGGGGGGGGGGCGGACAGACGGTGGACAGACGGTGTCACTGTACGTCCCTTCGACTCGTTCATTGCGTGCGACGCCAGCCAGCAAGCGCAACGAGGACAAAGCATCGCTAAACGCGTCCCGACTCGTCCGTTGCGTGCTACGTCGGTGGCATGGCATGGCACAGCTCCTTCCAGTGGAAAAAACACCCTGGCGCCACCAGAGGCGTGCCGCGCTGGCTCGCCATGGCCCCCCCGGGCGCGGCTCAGTTGTGCAGTGGGGGGAAAAAAGAAAAGGTAGAATTTTACCGCCATTGTCCCACACCGTTGAGCAACAGCAATCGCGGCACAGGCATTTTGTTGAAAATGAGTGTCAGTGACGGCAGCCGGCATGTCGGGAGGGGGTGGCGGGCCGGGGGGAAGCAATCGTGAAGCGTCCATTAGGAGCCATGCACCTGAAAGAGCAGCAACAGCGCGGGCACGCGTCTATAATCCCCACCGGCCCTACACGCCGAGAACGCCGGAAAACCCAAGCGGCAAAAAAACTGAAAAGACCGTACAGTGGGAATGGGGAGGATAGGGCAAAGCAGCTTGGAGGTTGGGATCGTTAGCTAACCAAACGCCAACCCTAATACCCCAACCCTAATACCCCAACTAGCCACGAGTACCAGCCCTCGAGGACTGACCCTAAACCTCGTGACTAACCCCCACCTCCGGTAAGGCTTCGACAGGCCCACTTTTTGATGTTAGTCGCGTTTCGGTTTTGGTGTTCGGAGCGCATGGCACTGAGTGGTCGTTTAGTGACAATGGTGGGAGGGGGTGGGTGGGAACGAACAAGCAGCTGATTCAATCGCAAAGGCTCCATTGATCAAGCGCCATTTCTCACAACCCTCGGCCACGGCAAACATGGGAACTCTTGTCTGGGCAAAGGTGGAGTGAACTTGTTGAAGGGATGACCCAAACAAAAAGGCCCACGTGAAGTTCACGCAATTTTCTCGAACACAAGCCGAAAAAGTAAAAAAAAGACAAACGCGGTCGTAATCGCCCAGACGCACCGCCAGGCTGCTGCGTGGCCTGGGCCATCTGAAACAAGGCGCTTCGACCCCGCAGTTTCGTCGGCGAGAAAGATAACTCGCAAGCGACTTTCTCGGCAACGAAATGCACCGATGATGTAATCGCAGTGATGGGTTTAAAAGCGTACAACAGAAACGTCGTCGTCGGATGTCGGTCGCGTGTTTGCTCCAAAAGTAACATTAAAACATGGCGGGCTAGGAAGGGGTGTCTACTAAACCGCCATTTATTTAGCGGGTTGCCAAATCCCTTAACGCGCCACCGCGGGGGTATCAAATCATGGCAACGTGGCCGGTGAGCTCAAAATTCGTTAAAATGCATAATTGCATTCACAAACCCGGCTCCCAGAGGAAAGTAACGCAAACCCCCAATAATCCCTTCCCAGCACTTGGAGCAATCCCCATAATGCACTGCGGATCACGACGACGCCATCGCCAGTTGCCCTGCTTTAGGATAACGCCCCGTCGTAGTGAAACGCGCCATTGCAGCCATTCAGAATTGGTTTTAGGGCTGGTGGGGTGGGGGGTGGGACGATGCTGCAATGTGTGGTGCGTTAAAGGGCACGACGTAATAGTGTAAGGCAACAAGGGGACAAACGGCTGCAGTTGGGGAAAAGGATTGCGATGTCATTCGGAGTGGTGATACTTCTCAGGAGTGCGCCAACGTTTGGTTCTCGCCACCCCCTTTCATTCCTGGTTAATTCACCGTACGGCAGTCTCCTTTGCTGTGCCACACAATTTTTATCGTTGGTATCAATGCAAACTCGTAGCGCGTCAAAACTTTAACGAGACTGTCATTACACCTTCTCCACTACGGCTCTCGATTCGAGGTCACAATTCGATTCAAGAATATTTTTTTAAATGCGGTGAATGTGTCACCACTGGCTGCAAATCAATTCCTACACGACCATGGCGAGCATGAAAGAATCGACGAGTCGATCCGTCGTGACTTTCGGAGCCAGAGATAAAGAACCCCTGTGAGATGAGCTCTCGACCCAAGATCGATTCATTTCAATGACCATGGAAAACGTTGGCACCGCTAAAGTCTCACGAAGTCTTGTGGCTACTGGACTATCAATGCGCAAAGCTTCCACGTCTGTTAAAGTGACCTCTGTACGAGTTCAGCGCCTTGAATCGCCTCTCTGAACTCCGTAAGCTGTGCCATTTAGTTTAACAAGCTTTAAATATTTTTTGTTCTCTCCTCACAGTGTCGGATTTTGTTTTAGTTTACTCTCAAGTATCTTCCCGAGCGGGTAGTGTCTGCAACCCTAAGGGTCGACAACGAAACGAAGAGATGGGGCACACGTCGGGTCGAGGCGTCTGTCAAGGCACCCGGTGCAATAGCGACCCCCCCCCCCACCCACCGCCACATCCTCGCCAGAATGCGGAAAGAGGAAAAAAACAAAACGCGTCTCCCAGAGGTCTTTTTCCCACTGCAAAACCGAGCTGTGCCACGCCGGGGCCGGGCCAGCCCCGCTGCAGCTCAGACGAGGCACCAAGTTTGAGCTTTTTCCTCACTGCAGAAGCCGAGCCGAGCCAAGCCAAGCCATCGATGTTGCGCGCGATCATACAAGTTGAGGCACGTACACGAGTCGGTGACGGTGGAGTCCTGCACTAATGTCACGCGCAGAATTATCCAGCCCCCTGGCCCTGCTCGGACCCTACCGACCCCACCGACCAACCCCGCTCCCCCCCACCCCCGAGCCAGATCCCGTCTGGCGTATGAAAAGGTTTGGTTCTGGCTCAGCACGGCAAATAGCCAGTGGCACATCGCCAGTACCGCAACGGACTCCGCACGCTTACTCGGCTCGGTTGACGCAGTGGGAAAAAAACTGGGTACCAGACACCATAGATTTTCACAATTTCCGATTCTGCATCCACATGTGCGCACACCAAAGGCCCCTCCTCCACCAGCCCAGCCCAGCTGCCCACCCCCGTTCGTGTCAAGAGCTGTGGCTCTCTGGGAACAGCAACGATGAAAAGAGAACAATAGACTGGTAAAAGGTGGCGGGGAGATGGGAAGTTAAGTGCCAGAGGTGGGGGTTAGACGTGATGGTGGGATCCACGTTGAATGGTTTAGTTAGGGTTAGGATCAGGGGCTGGTTGGTTAATTTTGTTTATGGTTAAGGTGCGGTTGGATAGTGTGGTGAGAGTTGTGACTCAGGCTAATGTTAGGGGGCTGGTTGTCCAGTTTGTTAGATATAAATGTAGATCTATGGTTTTTGCTGGCTAGTCTTTCAGCGTTAGGCGGTTGGGCAGTATGGATTGGCTACCGTGGTTAAGGATAGAGCTTATTACTGGTAAGGGGGCTGGTTGGCTCATTGATTAGTTTTAAGTTTAGTTCGTGTTGGTTGTAGGGGCTAGTTATATAGTTAAGTTTTGGTGTAGGGCCAAGAATGTGGTTGGCTAGGTTATGAAGGTGAGGGGAACAGTGCTGTTGGTGTTGTTAGGGTTTGGAATAGAGAGAATGCTAAGTGACTGGATGTCTGGTTTGTAAGGATTGGAGCGAGTATGTTGCTTGGCAAGTCAGCTAGTGCATTGGGGGTGGGGGGGGGGGTTAGATAAGGGCAGATTGGTTCGTGTGCTCCCCTTACAATCAATTGACCCCTCCAACTGCCCAGTACTGCAGTGATTTTCACTTCTTGTTCACTCTTCTCTTAGCGCACAGAGCACAGAGTGGGGGGGGGGGGGGGGGGGTGCACAACCATCACGAGACGCGACGATGGGGGGCGACATCGCCAGCCCAACCTCCCGGGTCCCCCGACGCACACCGGCCAGCCTGCAGCACACACGCAGTCCCACCACCGACCTGCGACCCCTGGATCTGCTCAATCCCTCCCGTTCTGCCGTCCAATCTGGCTGCGTTGTCACAGCGATCGCTGGGCTGGGAAGGCCGCACGACGACCTGGGTCGTCTCACACGTCACCATTCAGTCTCTCAGATTAGTTTTTTCTTCGTTTCATTCATTACAGGCTTATTAATTTTTTTTATTTTCCATTTATTCTGCACCAAAAACGCCGGCCGCAATTTTTAACTCACCGACATCCAGTACGTTGTGTTTTTATCACTTTTTTTAAAATCTAATTTAGGCAATCTATTTTTTTTTTGTACAGAATAAGCGACGCCGATACACTGTTGTTAGAAAGTGAGCCCCCCCACCTCTCTTCCGACCCCATCGCCACACGTTCCCTGTTCCCCAATCCCTCCCTCCCGCTTAACCCCCCCCCCCCCCCCACTTGGCACCCCCCTCCCCCCCACCCCAAAGACCAGATGGGCCATGGCTCTGGTCGCTACTCGCCGAGCACGGCGAACTGATTGCCGAGCTCCAGGTCGACGCCCTTGGCGCGCTGGCCGTCCTCGCGCGCCCGCCCGCGGTGCTTCACCGTCTCGAACGTCTTCTCCAGCTCCTTTTCCCTGCAGCGACGCAGACATTGACGGGGAGACGAGACAGACCGCAAGATTATAGAAGGGGGACACGGAAAGATAAGATGGGGAGAAAGACAGCGCTATAGACAGGGAGACGGACAATGCTATAGAGATGGAAAGGGGGAGAGGGCGAGGACGGGGAGAGACTCACCTCTTCGTCTCCACCATGGCGGCCGCCTGCAGAGAGGGGAACTGCGACTCGCTCGTGATCTCAGGGGGCTTCTGGGGTCCCCGGCGAGGGGTCGCCGCTGAGCCCGAGCGAGCACCCGGGGGGCGGTAGACACCCCCCACGACCCCCTTCACGTCCAGCGCCTCGGCCGCTAGCTTCGCTGCTTCGGCAAGGGAGGTGGGGGGGGGCAGCAGGAAATTATTTCATCATAACATATTTTTTACCAGGTAAGGCCCACTGAGCTACGTAGATTATTTTTCAGAAGCGACCTGGCTATCCACAAATGATAGCTCACCAAGTGGATTATCACCATCACGTGGAAATGTATTGCAGCAGCCAAATACTCTTAAACACGTGATGTTCATTCTAAATGTGGAGGGGAAAAAACTCCAAATATACAGGCATCAGGGTTAGCATAGAACCCATGTCCTCCTGTATAACAGGCGAGGTAGTTAACATCTTCTAGCCACCGCGAATGGATGGACAGACAGCTCAAACACACGGGTGCTTGCGTACCGGCGGGGGCAGTGGGCTGCGCCTGGCCGCCCTGCCGGCTCCACACTCCGGAGGAGCGCTCGCTATCGCGCGCCGTGCCCTCCCCGTCGCTGTCCTTGTCCTCCTTGCCCTCGAGGCCGCCCTCCTCCTCCACGTTCTCCTCGCTGCCGCACGGGGAAGGAGGGGGGACACGCACCGTCAAGAGGTCATCACGAACAGCGCCGTGGTAATCGGCCATCATCATCATCCCTCCTCACGACACGTCCAACCCAAGCCCACATTTGTCTCAACAGTTCGAATGATGTCTTCAGGAGAAGACAAAGTGCACACCAGAGGAGCAGGGTTCTTGTGGAGCGCAAAAGCTGAAGAATCATTATTGGGATACAGACCAGATCACTTCATCCCCAAATCTGTCTGTTGACTGATGATGCAAGTTGCAATTACTGGTGAAACGTCATACTCGAATTGTAAATGTTGTGAGTTTACTCTCCAACACATCGCTGTGTTGTACTAGTAACGAATTGGCATGTTTTGTTTACGAGACAAACCTTACTAAATGGCTGTATCGGGTGGTGGCGGGTTTAATGACACATTATATATATTTACGCAATCTCACCCAAAAACCTCTATTATGGGCACTTCACCCCCATTTATCTCCCCCATTTCTGTCCATCGAATTTCTGCCAGTCCTAGGCTATCGTCGCCTGTATTTTTCCACATCCTTTTCTGTGCAGCTCTAACAACCCTGTTGCCCTCGGTATTCTTACATTCCGTGTCCCTACTTGCGATATTCCGATTCGCCGTTCTCAACCTCTTCGTCGCTTCAGGAAATTTGGCTGCTTTGTTGTCGTCTCTGCTGCTGCCGCTGCTGCTTTCTGGTGGTTACATTTTTCGACCCGATCCCGGTTTCTCAATTTGGAGATGCGAACCTTGTTGACCTGGGCGTGTTAATGTAATTTCCCAGCGCGGCAGTTAAAACTATGTGGAACGTTTCTTAAATCCAGGCCCCCTCCCCCCACCACCCCAACCTCGGCCTCTGCCCAGCCAGCAGTACAAACGGGAACACCGCTGTCGGCGACATGAACGGTCATTAATTTGCCAATAACACCTATAGAGGACCGCAGAGCTTTGGCAGCCGGATTCGAACTGTGAACCTCCCTCTGCTACAGGCGGTGATCGCACGACCACTGCGTCGCCATCACCACCAACCTGGCCATGTCCGTACCGTGACCAGACTATTTAACGATCTGCTATAGCACTAATTAGACTAGACTATTTTTATTTTACGAGGTAAGGCTCACGGAGCTGTATAGCTCATTTTTCAAAAGCGACCTGGCCACAAATGAGAGCCCCACGAAGTGGCTCATCATCATGTGGAAATATCTAGCAGCCAAATACTCTAAGCACGTGACATTTATTCTAAATGTGGATGGAAAAACCAGAGGACCCTGGAAAAAAAGTCACGCGACCACTGGGAAAGGCATGCAAACCCAATATACAGTGGGCGTCAGGGTTGGGATAGAACCCACTAGCTCCTGCATACCAGACAAGGGAGTTAAACATCTCTTCGTAACCGTGGCGCCCTCTGGCCACCATGACCTGGGCAACAGAGGTGTTCGTCGCATCGAGGGGAGGACTGGTGGGCAGAGGTCACGTGAGAGGCGAGGGCTCGGCAAGCACGCTCACCTGATCTGCAGCGCTTGTATCCTGAGGCCACTGTAGTCGGCTTCCTTCTGCTCAAACTCCTTCCACTCCTCTTCCTCCTGCAAAGATGGCGGTCACGCCGCAGGTTTGTTACAGGCAGCGTCATCCCAGCGGTTCCAAGCAAAGACTGTTGGGGCAAGTGCCATGAGCGGCCACCTATGGAGGCCGGTGCAATTCCCCATGCCCCTCCCCCCACCCACGAGGGCCGTTTGTCCACCCTGGCACTGTCGACTTGTCCACCACGATTAAGTCTTACGATTGGCTGGCAGGAGGTCGCGTGCGGTGGAATTAAAGTGCGGGTAGTATTCCCATCTCTTCCAAAATGTGTGGTCAGCATGGAAGGGTAAATCAAATATCCTTTCGAGAGGGTCTTGACGTCTATAGCAGGAGGCCCGTCCGCTAGCAGTGGTGAGAGCAAGTCATTGCAGGTCTGCGCCTTTTTCCTTCCTCTTTGAATGCCGAGTCTGCGTCAAACCCTCTCTGCCGTTCATTCGCCATTTGGAAAAAGTGACGACGGGAATACAAAAAAAAGAACCATGCTGGCTAGGCCACGTGGTCATCAAGCTCCAAACCTCGTGCCGGCAAGAGAGGCCAGCCAGGGTCAACTCCACCCCGCCACACACTGGGGGTTGGGTGTAATGGATAGTGTGGGAATCTGACCCCACAAGGCCTACCTACGGCGGTGGTTCGCAATCTTTTTGGAACGGTGTACCCCCCCCCCCCCCCCACAAATCAAGGTTAAAGGGTGTAGAGTGTAGGGTGAAGGGTGTGGAGTGTCGGGTGTAGGTTGAAGAGTGTGTAGTGGAGGGTGTAGGGTGAAGGGTGTGGAGTGTCGGGTGAAGGGTGTGGAGTGGAGGGTGTAGGAAGAAGGGTGTGGAGTGGAGGGTGTAGGTTGGAGGGTGTGGAGTGGAGGGTGTAGGTTGGAGGGTGTGTAGTGTAGGGTGTAGGTTGAAGGGTGTGGAGTGGAGGGTGTAGGTTGGAGGGTGTGGAGTGGAGGGTGTAGGTTGGAGGGTGTGGAGTGGAGGGTCTAGGTTGGAGGGTGTGGAGTGGAGGCTGAAGGGTGTAGGTTGACGGGTGTGGAGTGTAGGGTGTAGGTTGTAAGGTGTGGAGTGTAGGGTGTAGGTAGAAGGGAGGGGAGTGGAGGGTGAATGCAAGACGCTGGGCTGTGTGCGATGGAGGAGGCTGCAGGGTTGCAAGCTGTAGAGCAGGGGGAGGGGGGGAGCCCCGTGTCAACCATTTCGCAAGAGCGCACTCACTATTCCCACAACCATCACTATTACCACTACCACCATCACCATCACCACTATCACCACCACAATAATTACCACTATCATCACCACCACCATCACCATCACCACTATCACCACCACAATAATTACCACTATCACGACCACTATTACCATCACAACTATCAATACCACAACTATCACCACCGCTACCATCATCACAATTACCATCACCATGAGCACCGCCACTATTAATAAATATTGTGACGGTGGTGGAAATGGTAAGTGTCGTGGTGATGGTGGTCATGGTGACGATGGTAATTGTAGTGGTTGATGGTAGTGGTCTTCGTAACAGTCGTGGAGATGGCAACAGTGGTTATGATGGTTATATTGGTAGAGATGATAACAGTAGTGGTGATGGTGGTGGTAAAAATCGTGGTGATAGTACTGACGGTGGTAGTGGAGTGTGTGTTGATTGTGATAGTGGTGATTAGTGGTGGTAACAGTAATTGCGGGAGTAGTGGTAGTGTTAATGGTAGTAATAGCATTGGAGGTTGTGGTGATGGTTATAGTGGCGATGCTGGTGTTAGCAATGTGAAAGGTAATGGTGGTGGTGGTGAGTGGCGGTAATAGTAGCTGGGGGGGTGAACATCCCTCTAGCGAGGGTGACGGTGTTGGTGGTAACAGTGATTGTGGTGGCGCTAATTACGGTGGCATTAGTAAGGGTAGCGGTGATGGTAATCGCGATGGTGATGATGACGAGGGGTTTTTATTTTAATTTCCCCACCACTCAATGGATGACGCCGGCCAGGGCCTCAGCACAAGCACAAGGGCCCCGCGTGGCACCCCTCCCGAACACGACGTGCGGCGCGGCTGGCGCGGTGGCGATGAACGTCCCGTGGACATGGTGGGTGGCTCTAATCCGCAGCGGCGGCGGTAATGATGGTGGCGACGTCTGATGACAAGGGCCGGAGTAACATCCCAACCACCACCATCACGCTATTGCCAATGGACACCGGTAATGGTTGCGCGAGCGATTATAAAGATGGTGATGATCGTGGTGGATATGGTAACAGCTGTGGCGATGATGATGATCGTGGTGGGGGTGGTGGTGACGATGACGACGAGGATTGGCGAATGTGGCGCCTCGCTTCACCTTGACCGCGGCGCTATCCGCGTTCTCCGAGCCGCGCTGCGCCTTCTCCCGCTCCCGCCTCGGCTTCTTGACGGAGGCCGAGGCCGCGGCCTGCCCTCCACCCGAAGCCCCCGCGTTGCCTGGAGCGGCCCCGCCGGCCGAGCTCGCACCTCCGGCGGCAACAGCCGCGCCGCCCGCCGTGGCCGAGACCGAGGGAGCGACGGCGATGGCAGCCGCCGCGACCGGCGGCGCCGCCGGAGTCGGGGCCGCCGCCGCCGCCGCCGCCGCTGCGGCCGAGGGCCCGACGGAGGAAGCCGAAGAGGAGACGGGGGCGCCCTCGTTGCCGCCCTTGCGGCCGCGGTCTTTCTTCTTCTTCTTGTCGCGCTTGGCGAAGAAGTCATCCAGACTCTTGTCCTCTCCGTCCGCCATGCTGCCCGGTAGGCATGAAGCGATTACTTCGATTCGATTGCGCCCCGCCTCGAGTCGACTAATAGCGAATCGATTCCCGTGGGAGTGGTTGCATGACGCGGGTGGGGGGGGGAGTGGGAATCGATTCACAGCGACTGCGCGTGAATCGATCCTTTACGATTCCTACTCTTGACTTTTTTTTGTCTCCAAAGTCTCGAGTGGAGTTTCTCGACGCTTTGGTTTACAGCCCCTGCAGAACCAGCAGTGGAAATTCCACATTCCTATGGCAGGGGCGAGTATTTACATAGGACAACAACCACTGTTGATCCGGACAACTTTGTATTTATTTTATCGACCCCCCTCCCGAAAGGAGTGATGATGGCCTGAGTCAAGCACCCGGCCTCCACCGGGTTTTGTGTCAACTCCACGTGTTTAATGACCACGTGTTTTAGTCCATCAGTCCGTTGTTTTGCCAGACCAATATATGCAGCAGAACTTAGGCGAGCAAACTCTGGAGCAGTTTCGACCTCGTGGGTCTCATCAGCAAGTCACGCCAAAACCAAGCTGCCGAGTTGCCAGATGTCTCGTGGCAAGGTCGTGCCATGTAGCCCATGCGACCCCGTTGTATCGAGTTGACAGTGGCAGATCAGACCGAACAGATGACCCAATGCATGCCGTGTCTGTAACAACACTGGTATTCAAAGGGAATATATAATTGGGGACGTTTCGGGCGATGCCAATTCTTCAGAACACACACAGGCCAGAAAGGTGGAGATCAGAGACAACATAAACAACACAACGAAGACAGCCAACAGAGCACACTTAACACGGTGCCAGCCAGTTCGTGTGTGTATGGGACAGCAGACGATCTGTACAGAGACCACAGTGCCAATAGCGGTGCACATGAGGCAAGGCAGTGGTACAAGACAGCACAGACAACACACACAATGTAGGCAAGGCACAGTATAGACCGGACAAGATAGTGCAGATAAAAACTCAACTTTATTTCCCCAGGTAAGGCCCACTGAGCTTGTGTAGCTATTTTTCAGAATCCACCTGGCGATCACAAATGACAGCTCAACGAAGCGGCTCATCATCATCATCACGTGGACATTTATAGCAGCAGCCAAATACACATATACTGTCAGTACACTACCACCGACCAGGCCATGCAAACTACACATTGGAAATGCACAGTACAGACAAGACGCAGTACACACCAGACAAGACACAAAGACAGTATATACAATACACACACACAGTGTATACAATACACACACAGTATATACAATACACACACAGACAGTATATACAATACACACACAGACAGTATATACAATATACACACACAGACAGTATATACAATACACACACAGACAGTATATACAATACACACACAGTGTATACAATGCACAAACACACAGACAGTATATACAATGCACATACACACAGACATTATATACAATACAACAACAACAACAACCGCCATTCGCCACTAAGTGGCGGTGACGTCACCACGATGCTTGTGCCAGGCCAAGTGCACCTTGAGGCCACGTGAAGTGTCGAAAGCCCGCTGGCAGGAGGTCACGGGGCAGACCCAGGTGTCACGGGTCGACTGACCGAGATGACCGAGATGACTGGCTGATGCACCAACTGTGCCCCCTACTGTGCCAACTTGCTGTGCTTTAGCCACCCGGCGCTCCGCTCGTTGTTGTGAGCGTCGCTCCTCCGCCCTCCGTTGTTGTTGGAGGGCGACTGCCTCCAACTGCCCAGTAGCGTCCTTCACGAGCCTCCTCCACTGAGGCCGATCTTGACACCGCTGGTACCAGTCATCGGCAAGTCCACTCAGCTCCACGTCCTCCTGTACCACATCACTCCATCTCTTCTCCAGCCCGTGCCGCGCCCGTCTAGCCCCCTCGATCCGGCCGAACAGAAGCTGTTTAGGCATGCGGTGGCTGGGCATGCGGGCTACATGACCCAGCCAACGCAGCCTTGCCTGCCGGAGGAGCTCACTGATGGGACTTTGCCCAGATACAATACACACACACACATACAGACAGTATATACAATACAAAGATAAAGATCCCCCGTATAGCCTTAACAGACTGTAGGGGCAAGTGCTGTTAGCGAGCACATATGAAGGCCGGAACGGTACACGAGGGAGTGAGGGAAATAAGTATTTGACCCCTCTGCAAAACATGACTTAGTACTTGGTGGCAAAACCCTTGTTGGCAATCACAGAGATCAGACGTTTCTTGTAGTTGGCCACCAGGTTTGCACACATCTCAGGAGGGATTTTGTCCCACTCCTCTTTGCAGTTCTTCTCCAAGTCATTAAGGTTTCGAGGCTGACGTTTGGCAACTCGAACCTTCAGCTCCCTACACAGATTGTCTAAGGGATTAAGGTCTGGAGACTGGCTAGGCCACTCCAGGACCTTAATGTGCTTCTTCTTGAGCCACTCCTTTGTTGCCTTGGCCGTGTGTTTTGGGTCATTGTCATGCTGGAATACCCATCCACGACCCATTTTCAATGCCCTGGCTGAGGGAAGGAGGTTCTCACCCAAGATTTGATGGTACATGGCCCCGTCCATCGTCCCTTTGATGCGGTGAATTTGTCCTGTCCCCTGAGCAGAAAAACACCCCCAAAGCATAATGTTTCCATCTCCATGTTTGACGGTGGGGATGGTGTTCTTGGGGTCATAGGCAGCATTCCTCCTCCAAACACGGCGAGTTGAGTTGATGCCAAATAGCTCCATTTTGGTCTCATCTGACCACAACACTTTCACCCAGTTGTCCTCTGAATCATTCAGATGTTCATTGGTAAATTTCAGACTGGTATGTATATGTGCTTTCTTGAGCAGGGGGACCTTGCGGGCACTGCAGGATTTCAATCCTTCACGGCGTAGTGTGTTACCAACTGTTTTCTTGGTGACTATGGTCCCAGCTGCCTTGAGATCATTGACAAGATCCTCCCGTGTAGTTCTGGGCTGATTCCTCACCGTTCTCATGATCATTGCAACTCCACGAGGTGAGATCTTGCATGGAGCCACAGGCCGAGGGAGATTGACAGTTCTTTTGTGTTTCTTCCATTTGCGAATAATCGCTCCAACTGTTGTCACCTTCTCACCAAGCTGCTTGGCGATGGTCTTGTAGCCAATTCCAGCCTTGTGTAGGTCTAAAATCTTGTCCCTGACATCCTTGGAGAGCTCTTTGGTCTTGACCATGGTGGAGAGTTTGGAATCTGATTGATTGCTTCTGTGAACAGGTGTCTTTTAGGAGCACTCCCTTTAAGAGTTTGCTCCTAATCTCAGCTCGTTACCTGTATAAAAGACACCTGGGAGCCAGACATCTTTCTGAGAGGGGGTCAAATACTTATTTCCCTCATTAAAATGCAAATCAATTTATAACATTTTTGACATGCGTTTTTCTGGATTTTTTTGTTATTCAATCTCTCACTGTTCAAATAAACCGACCATTAAAATTATAGACTGATCATTTCTTTGTCAGTGGGCAAACGTACAAAATCAGCAGGGGATCAAATACTTTTTTCCCTCACTGTATACAATGCACACAGACAGTATATACAATACACACACAGTATATACAATACACACACAGTGTATACAATACAGAGACAGACAGTATATACAATACACACACAGTATATACAATACACACACACAGTGTATACAATACACACACAGACAGTATATACAATACACACACAGTATATACAATACACACACACACAGACAGTGTATACAATACACACACAGACAGTATATACAATACACACACACACAGACAGTGTATACAATACACACACACAGACAGTATACTATACAATGCACAGTACAGACAAGACGCAGTACACACCAGACAACACAGAATCGATGTTTTGCACTTGGAATCGAGGCGCGTGAATCGCATTTTGAGGCATCGATCCGCGCCCCCTGGGCCCCGCCTCCTCGCTCCTTATAAAACCATAGCGCGCTTAAGCACCGCGCGCCGCCCTGGCCGCGCTCCCATTGGCCGAAGCGGCCCCACGTGACCCGCCGCACGTGTCCAGCGTTCCCGCGCTTATGCGCTTTATGTAATTCAACGGCGTCCTCCGGGCACAAATCCAAATTTATTCTTCGCCTGATTCATGGCGCCCGACCCCCCCCCCCTCGTTTAATTCCGAACTTAGAAAAATAACAACAGACATCGACGCTGCTTACGGACGGCCACAGTTCACTCGGTATTCGCGTTATTCTCCTGCGTCTTCACCGGCGCAGGCGGCATCGCCCCGAGCCAACTGGGCCAAATGCGCATTGAACGGTCCTGGCGAATGTGCCGCGGCGTGGAAGCCGCCCCCCCGCCAAGTTTACGTGGTGGCCGCGTCGCCCACGTGGCCCAGGGCTGGGGGGGGGTCACGTGGGTGGCGCGCACGTGCGCGTGCCGCCTGCAGGTGTCGCCATCCTTGGCCCCGCCGTGCGAATGTGGAATTTCCACTCGCGGTGCTCACATTTGACTTAAAAAAACAAACTTTTATTTTTTTGTTGCCTTTCACACTTACATCCACGACCAATAAGCTGACACACGTAAGCGCGTTCCTTTTGTTCGACACGTTTTCCGCGCGTGTTTACCTGCGCTAAGTTAGTGGCATAGTGTGTACCCAGACAAACTGTTATTTTCACTTTGGGGCCGTCCATAAATGACGTCACGCGATTTTGGACGATTTTTGACCCCCCCCCCCCCTCGTCACGCGGCGTCACAAAAAGTCAGACCCCCCCCCCCTCAAATATGACGTCACAAAGCTCTGCCCCCCCCCCCCCCTCCAAAATAAAACATGCTTCAAATCGCTTTAAACTGTTGTCGTTGTAGTGCGTATTTAATGTGGCGCTGCACTCTGATGTTGTAATTAAGTAGAACGTGTTTATATTTAAAGTTGCGCATTTTGATGTGACGTCACATTTCTACCCCCCCCCCCTCATCACACGTCACAAATGTCTGACCCCCCCTAGGTGCGTGACGTCATTTATAGACGGCCCCTTTGTTAAAAACCACGGAGAGGTT